AATTTAATGAATTAAGTAAAACTAAAACAAATGTTACAAAATAGGTGTATAAGTATTTAAACAAATTACATATTCTAAATGTATTTTTAATTTAAAAACCGGCTTTATATTTTAGAAAAATAATTTTAAGTCGTTAGATTGTAACCAATTAATTAATTTGAGAAGTGCTACATATGAAAAAGTGAACACATATTTATTTGAAATATGAAGTACAAGTTTACAAATTAATTTGAACTACAACTACAAATTTACAATTTTGAAATATGAAGTACAAGTTTACAATTTTGAAATATGAAGTACAAGTATAAATAAATTTGACAAGTGCTATAAAATACATTTTGTACTAAATTCTAAAATACTAATCAATCGGAATCTCCGGCATAGGTAGAGCCACCATCGGTTGTTGAGTCATCCATAAAATCTTGGGAGGGGGTGATGCTCAATTCTTGAGTTCTACGTGCGGCCTTCAACCAATCGTGGTAGCATATAAGCGTCTCAAGAGACTCCGCGCTCAATCTCGATCTAGATGCCGTTAGGACGTTGCCGGCCGAACTAAATTCTTGTTCCACCGCAACTGTTGAAACCGGCATTGATAGTACTTGCTTAGCCATCCGTGCTAAAATCGGGAACGTTCTTTCTTTTGACTTCCACCAGTCTAGAACGTCAAAGTCATCATTTTCTTCAAAATCAACTTCATATGTTAAATACAAAGTAATCTCATTCAATGCGCTTTGTTCAGTGACGTGAGTTGTTTTAGTTTTTTTCATAAGATTGCCAAATGCAGATTTAAAAATCGATTTTCCTTTAGATGAAGATGTTCGTGACGGGGGAGGGGGAGCGTTGCTATATTGTGCACGAAACTCATTAAATAAGGCATAAAATAAAGTACTAACCTCGTTGTATTCCGTTTTCGGATCTATGGGGTTATCCTCATTCATTGGAAATTCACCGAAAAACGCAAGATAATAGAAGTTGAAACAATCTTCCAAATTAGCAAGTCTATAACGAGGATCGAGAATAAATGCAATACCATAAATATGGGGAATATGTACATAATATTTTAAAAACTTTTCCTTCATATGATCACAAAAATAATGAACGAAAACGGCATTTTGAAATTCTTTAAAAGCATCGGCGAGATTAACAGCTTGTGGAATAAATTGGTTTGCGGTAGGTTTATAAACATGACTAAAAGTTTCAGTAGCATTAAAAAAATATATCAAAACATTACAAATTTTTTCGCAAGTGTCGATCTCAGCCGCGTTTATAATATAGTTATCATGTTCTTTTAAAAAAGCAGGAAAATGTTCTTTATATCTAAGAACAACTTTAAGTAATTTATAAGTACTATTCCAACGAATACTCAAATCTTTAGGAAAAGCAACATATCTCACACCTCTTTCAGTCAAATAACTTTGCCATTTTAATCTAAGTTGACCATTACCCCAAATACGTCTAACCCCCCCCCCCCCCCCCCCCTTTATTACCTCCATGGAATCTCCTAACGCTTTTAAACCGTCTTGCACACATAAATTTATAACATGACATGCACAGCGTTGATGAAAAAATCTACCCATCAAAGAATTGGCACCACACAACTCACGTAATCTAGGTATAGCAGCAGTATTATTAGTAGCATTATCGAAACCAATAGCAAACACCTTATCAATCAAATTATACTCAATTAAAATACGCTCAATCAAAATATAAATATGTTCAGCGGTGTGACGATCATTAAATTCACGAAAAGCAAGAACACGTTTATGCATATTCCAATCCTCATCAATATAATGTGCAGTCAGACCCAAATAATATAAATGATGAAAATCATCCTCTCATATGTCAGAACAAATAGTAACACGCCCATCAAAGTTTGCAAAAAAATTTTGTAACCTGACCTTTTCCGCATTATAAAGCCTTATTATTTCTTTCTTAACAGTTTTGCGACTATAATTTCTAAATTGAGGATTTAAACTACCTTGTGCATAATCTCTTAAAGCAAGACTTTCAGAAAACAAATAAGGCAAATTTTCTTCACAAATTAAGTTAGCCATACCAGTCAAATTTTGTGCATCATTGTAGGAGAAATTACCAAAAGGTTGAGAATTCGCAAACCTCGATATTTGAGTTTGCTTCCCCGTTCCGCCGCCTAATTTTGCATACTCCACGGGGTGCTTTGCCTTAAGATGCCTTGCGGCGGATCCGTATCCGCCGGAGGTTCCCAAACTATAATTGTTGTTGCACCACTTGCAAGTTGCGTGCCAATAGCCGGTTTGTGGGTCCTTCCATTTATCAAAATTATTTTTCATTAGTTCAGACTTACTTTTTTTATTACCGGTGGCGGTTTGGGATGAGGCAGGCGCGTCGGCGTCGTGGCTGCCGGCACCCTCCTCCTCGGCCGTCTCCGGTTCCAATTCCTCCGCATCTTCATCCTCAAGCTCCTCTTCGTCAATGGTCGTCGGCATTTGTTGTTGTTGTAGAAAGCGGTTATTATGTCGGGCCAATTCTTGTTGGAGTTGTTCTTCGGACATCGCATCTCCATCTCGCCTTTGGTAACCCGTTTCAAAATCATCTCGACTTTGAGATGAAGACCCGGCAAGTTCTTTACCTTTGCGGGATTTCTTCCTCCCAATCTCGTTTCTTCGATTGCGTTGGAGGTTACCCAAATCAACCGAATATCTACCACCTTCCATCTAAAAAATGTAACAAATATTAATTCACAACAAATATAATAATGGATACAAAACTAATGCAACTAATTAAAACTATTTTAATTAATACTTCAAACTAATTTTTTGCAAAGTAGAATTAATGTGTGTCTCTACAATTAAAATTATAGCAACTTTTGAAGTAAATAACTAGTACAAGTAAAAATGTAACAACAATGCTAATTAAGTAGTTAACTAGTATAGTGACAAATGTAACAAACTAACAACTACTTAAATAAAATGTGAAGTATTTTAATTAGTATAATGAAAAATGTAACAAGAATGGTATTGAAGTATTGAACTAATTAACTAGTATAATGAAAAATGTAACAAGAATGGTATTGAACTAATTAACTAGTATAATGAAAAATGTAACAAGAATGCTAATTAAGTAATTAACTAGTATAATGAAAAATGTTACAATAATGGTAATGAACTAATTAACTAGTATAATGAAAAATGTAACAAGAATGCTAATTAACTAATTAACTAGTATAATACTAGTTATAGTAAGTAATATATAATATAATGTTTATATTATATAATATATAAGTATACTATACTATACGATGAGTAATACACTTATATTTTATACTTTAATATATAAAATATATATTAAGTAGATGTAGAATGTATGTATTAAGTGGATATAATAATTGTATAAGAATTAAATATTAGAGTATAATGGAGAATTGGAGATTGGAAAATAAGTATATATAAAATATAAGTAGAGAAGTAGATATTATTATGTATTAAGTATATAGTAATAGTTTATAAAGTATATTTAATACTTTATTATATAAAGTATATACTCCCTCCGTTTCTAAAAGAAAGTCACGGTTTGACTTCACGATTATTAAGGAAATAAATTGACTTTACTGTAGAAAACACTGTTTAGACACTGTTTGGACACTGTTTGGCACTGTTTGACACTGTTTGACACTGTTTGGATGTAGATTTCTTTGCCAAATAAGGAAATAAGGGAAGTGTAACTTTTATTTTGGTACATCCAAAAAAGGAAAGTGTGAGGTTCTTTTAGAAACGGAGGGAGTATTAAGTAGATATAGTATGTATGTATGTATTAAGAGATATAAGTAGAAATTAAGTAGATAAGAAATATAAGCAATATAGTATATGTAGATAATAATATATATAAGTAGATAATTAATATATAAGTAGATATAATAATTGTATAAGTATTAAATAGTAAAATAAAATATAAAGGAGAATAAGAGAATTAGAGAAGATGAATATGGAGAATTGGAGAATGGAGATGAGTAGAGAGTAGGATTTAGAAGAGTTGGAGAAGAGGTGTGAAAAAATGTTTAAAATTAGGAGTATTTATAGGTTTTTTTTTTAACCCCCACCCCCCACCCCCCACCCCCCACCCCACACCCAAACCCCCCTGACCCCCCCTGGTACCACCCAACGGCTATATAGCCGTTTGGGGTGGCCGTTGAGCCAAAAGAATCCAAAAAAAAAAAAAAAAATTTAAATATTGGACCGTTTGGCCCGGGCCCGGGCCCGACCCGGCCGGGCCGGGCCTCCAAAACCAGGACCCGAGCCCGGTCCCGCTAACCCGACCGGGTATCTGCCCGAACCGGACCCGGACCCGAGAACCGGGCCGGTTCCGGGCCCGCACAGTGACGGGCCGGGCCGGTCCCGGGCCGGGCGGCCCGAACCGGGTCCACGCCTAAGCCCATAGGAGTAGCAAATCGAATTTTATCGTCCCTATTATGGGGAAGCTTCAATTGTGATCTATAATTGCTAATTCTGGTCCTCCCTCTATCTGAAAGAATCTCAACCAAAATTGTCTAACAATTCGGTTCCAGACAAGTTCAGAACGTCCTCGATCCAAGTTGGCCCGACCCGGAACCGGCCCGGTTACTGTTTGGCCCGGCCCGGAGCCCGATGGGTCCAGCGGTTCGGTTTGGCCCGGCCCGGGTGATGGGCGGTCCGGGCTCAGGCCCTGCTTTAGGCAAACCGGCCCGGCCGGTTCGGGCCCGGTCCGGGCCGGATTTTAATTTTATTTTATTTTTTTGAAATTTTTTTAAATTTTGGGTTGGATTAGGTATTTTGGGCCATTTGAGGTGGTTTGGGATGGTTTGGGGTTGAGGGGGAGGGGTAGGGGATTAAATAGAAGAACCCAAAAAAAAGGACCGGTTTGGCCCGGCCCGGAACCGGAACCGGCCACCGGCGGTTCGGGCTCGGGTCCCAATTTTCTGGCCCGAGGCCCGGCTGGGCCCGAACCGGCCCGAGTCCAGCCATAGATCCAACCTTGCATTTGATGGCGCTTAATGGCTTTGATTTCAACACTCAATACTAATAAATACTGCAGAGTTTATAAAGATAGGTCTGTCCTTGATAAATTAGGAAAACAAAATACATACAAACTTCTTGGAAGCTATCGATAAAAAAAACAAATCTACTGCACTCCAAATTAAATTAACAAAAACTAGCTAGTGTTCCAGATTGCCTGAAAAACAATGAGTCAGATATCTTTAATATTACCGTATAATGATAGATTAATGAAATTACACATGTCTTCTGTCCCCATTATGGAGTATCAACCATCAATTCACTTGGAAGTTGGAACTATAAAGTTAAGCTTACAAGACAAAAGGTTGGTAATATACCCCCATCACCTCGCCTCAATAACCATCTCCCAAACGATATGCGGGCTTGCAATGATATTAGTCTTTGAGCTCTTAATTCCATTTTCGTTGTCCACTTCCAAAACCTCTGCCACGATCTCGGAAACCCCCATGGCCTCCTAATTAATCAAAAAAACCATCACACAGAAGGAACAAGCAAAAAAGAAAATACTAACACAAAAAGAAACTAAAGGCAACAATGAGCAAGTTTTTAGTTGGTTCAATGAATTCCTCCCAGGCTACTCAATCTCTCCCAAATTGAGGATTCTAGGGGAGTTATTTTTGCTTACTAATTTACTATATAAAGGGCAACCCAGTGCACGAATGTGTACAAGGGGCAAGCCTTCCCCTCTCAAATTTGAGAGGAGGCCGCTCCCAAGACTCAAATCTGTGACCGCACACAGCAACACCTTAACCTATTCTGTTTTATTTTTTAAAAAGCGGTTGTTACACACACAGATCAGGGATCTACGTATTTTCTTAAAATACAAATACAAATTTATCTAACTCCTCCATTGAACCTAATAACAGTTATTTGCTACTCCATTCCCCCTCCACTTTTGAACAAAACAAAGGCGTAGATGATGTGTGAGGGTCCCAATGGGTAATGTGGGAAGGAAGATATTGTAAAAATGTTGTTTTTTAGTGTTTGGTTTTATCTAGTAAAATACAAAGAAAAATGAAATGCAATTATTTCTGGAAAAAATTACACACGCACACACATAAATGTATATATGGACTTCTTAGTCTATATATAGAAATTTGAAGATTATCTAAGTAATTTGTTGAGTAACCTATTTTCATTAACACCATTTTTTTCCCAAAAAAATCTAGGAGAGCGTTGACACTCTCATAGATTTATTATGACTATAATATACCAACCTGGAGGTGGAGGAGGAGCACCACGTCCCATGGCAGCTAGATCAGGGCTGACTTTCTGTCCTGCCTCTTGAAGAATACTAATAAGCTCTTTTGCAAATCTGGCATTTGCAACTGTGAAGAATGTGTAAGCTGTTCCTTTGGCACCTGCTCTTCCTGTTCGACCAATCCGATGAACATAGTCCTCCAGGGATCCTGGGAAATCATAGTTGATGACATATTTTACATCCTTCACATCTGCAAGAAGCAAACCAAATATGGAGTGTGTAAAACCATAAGATGAAAGTCCACAAGAACATCAATCAAGTTTCTATAGTTCGAGTCCAGATCAAGTGTCTCAGAAGGGTGTGCCACTCAATCTTAAAGACACAAGTTGATATTAAATTTAAAAAACATAGTTATCTTAAAAACAATCATTTGATACTCATCAGGAGTACTGTTTCATAAACAAAACATCAATGTTTAACTTCACGTATTTTTTGTCCTTCATATGTATTAATTTACATATAAAAAAATTGATTTTTAATGATAAAAATAATATATACTACCTCCGTCCAAATTTGATGGTCTCAGTTCCTATTCACTTGGTCAACACAAATCACTCTTAATCTCTTACTTTATATATCAAATTTTAATCAATTTTGATTCTGATTTTTGCGACTTTATAAAGCTTTTAATTTAGTTTCTGAATATGTAATTTTTTTTCTAAAAATAATTTGAGTGCCGACAGGAATCTGTTTGCTTTATCGTCGGTCAAGCATCGTAAACCGCAACGAGACCATCAAATTTGGACGGAGGGAGTAGAACATGTGGTGGAAGTGTTTTTTTAGATTAAAGCACTAATCTATAGTTTTATTTAAAAAAAAAAAGAATAGGAAGAATTCGTTCCAGTTAAAACGCAAGGATTTCTTTTTAAGAAAAAGCGTGTAGGTTCCCATAAAAAGCAACTTACTCCTTTGCAAAAGTGTTGACCATACACTTAACCATGCCAGCACTGAAATTCAAACAGAAAGGTCAACCTATGAGAATGATAGTTCCAGATGGGCCGACATACCTAACCCTCGAGCAGCAACATCTGTAGCTGTCATTATGGGACTCTTGCCAGCTTTGAATTCTGAAAGGACCCAATCTCTTTCTGCTTGGCTCTTATCCCCGTGGATAGAGAGTGCAGGCCAACCATCCATCCTAAGTTGCCGAGTTGTTTGATCACATCCTTTTTTAGTGTCCATAAATATCAGAATCCGGCTACCATCCATAATGTCTTCCAATAACTTCACCAATCTGATATTACAAAGTTTTAGTTTAGCTTGAATGATTTTTTCAAACTAATGCCCAAAAGTAAAATGTCAAAAGTAGCACACCCATACAGGTCGGTTAAGAGAAAATCCTACTTGTTATATTTTTGGCTTTCGGAGACAACTTCCACATGCTGGCGAATTGCATGATTAGCTTTAAGATCTTCTGAACCAATAATGACCTGAGCAGAGTGAAATGATAAGGTACACAGAAGGATCTCAATGAAACAGTGGCAAATTAAGTTGTAATAATGTAATATACAGCTGTAAAAATCTATTTCTTTAATATATAATTCCCTAACAAATTAACAATTAAATGGCACAAGTCACTGAACCATCAATATTATGCACTTATTAATGATATAGAAGCAGCAGAGACAATAACCAGCAGAAAAAACAATAACATAAAAGACCTGATTTTTACTGAATTGCAAGCCGACAATAAAAACCCGAGTAGTCTTTTAGTCGTAACACACAACACTCATCATAGAAAGCTTACTTTGTACGGATTGTAAAGGGATTTTCTAGCAAGTTGCTCAACTTCCTTTGGCCATGTAGCGCTCCAGTACAGAGTTTGACGATCTGGTCGTATCTGCACGACAGAACCAAATTTCAAGTCAGCAATCTCAACTCTCAATGAAAAAATGGATCTTGGACATTGTTACAATGTACAACAGTAAAAAAGCGCACTTACACTTTTGGATGAAAAATCATTTTCTTAAAAGATATGTAATCCAAATGGGATACACTTAGCAAGTGATGAAAAGGCAAAGAACGTATACTAACAGCAAAGTAACATAACATATGATGATATAAGTATACGACCACCTATAGCAAATATTCAATTTCTGTTACAGGCGTGGTTGGGAGATAAAAAGAACAAGATTGAAAAACTATGTAATTGACACCACATATGATGATATGAGTATATGACCACCTTGTAATTTCAATCGGACACAGACCAATGCAAGTACAATCAATCCTAAATTATTCTTATGTGCAGAAATAAAAAAAGCAGAACAAGAGACTCACAAGCCCTACTTGTGACGAATGGAGTTGCCAAAGTTTAAATTTACATTATCATATATATCACAACAGTCAACTTCCTCTGCAAACAAACCTGGGCAACAATTTTCTTGATTTGAGGTTCAAATCCCATGTCCAGCATACGGTCAGCCTCATCCAACACAAGATATGTAACCCTACGCAAGTTTGTGTGATGGGATTCTAACATGTCAATCAATCTTCCAGGTGTAGCAATAACAATTTCAACGCCTGAAGGACGTTACAGAAGTGAGTATGAACGTAAATATCAGGTGCTAAATTGAATTATATATATTAAAATGGAAGAAGCAGCAGAATATACCCGATCTTATCACATCACGACATAGAAGTAAAGTCTTGAGCAGATCACCACCTACCTTTCTGAAGATCACGAACTTGGGGTCCCTTTGGAACCCCTCCATATATGCAAGTGTTCTTAATCTTTGATGAGGCACCAAATTTAGTAGCTTCTTGTTGGATTTGGACAGCAAGTTCACGAGTTGGAGCTAATACTAGCACAATAGGGCCATCTCCCGGTGCTTTATACCAAACACAGAAATAGTGTTACATAACAAGTTTAGTCCCTGTAGCTAAAAGATAAGTGTCTGGGAAAAATGATAATGTGAACACATTGGAATTTACTGGAGACCAGAGAATAAATACCTAAAAATGGCTGAGCATTAACGTGTACAATCGCTGGAAGTAGGTATGCTAGTGTCTTCCCTGAACCTGTTTCTGCAATACCAATGAGATCACGGCCCTTCAAGGCCATAGGCCATCCTTGAGCTTGAATAGGTGTAGGTTCAGTAAAGCCAGCTTTCTCAATTTCATCCATTACATATTCTGAAAAAAATCAGCAAAATAAGTAACATGGCTAAACCCTCAAGAAGAACTACTGTGTCGTGATTGGCATGAGTGCATGACTATAAATTAAAGCTTATAACTTTCATAAGTGTGCCCATGGGTACCCATACCAGATAAGGAGCAATTAATATTTACTCCCTCCATCCCTGATTTAACATCCAAATTTCCTTTTTGGGCGTCCCAAAACAAACTTTAACTTTTTCCCTTTTTGGTAATGAATTTGTGGTTCACGGCAATTCTTACACATTTCTCTCTCCTTTGCACAACTCTTCACCACACAATATCTACTATCTTAATCCTCGTGCTAAATGTACTTTGGAAGTTAATTAAGGGACGCAGGGAGTATAACATTCATAAATTATACTCCGTACTTGGTAACGCTGATAAATGTATAATTTCTAGCTATAATTATATCAATCTTTGAACTTTTTCTTGTAATTATCATATTGAAGCACATTCAAATGCTTCTTCGTACACATTAGAAAAAAACTGTCATAAACAGCTTATTTTGATCAGCAGCATAATTGTTTTTATGTACTGCACGGGATTCAAATAGAATAACTGGGCCGTCTTGGATGGCTTTGAATTAAAACTTAGGCAAGTCATACATCTTGGACAGTCCAGCATGATATAGAATCAACATGCAACAAGGATAGACAATCCAGAATAGACAAACCATGGATATCAGCTACCAAACAGTTGCAAGAAAATTAAGTTTTGTTCAGGACTGTGTACCTGGAAACCCCACATCATTGAAGCTCTTCACTGGTTTGGGCACATCTGGGCCTTCTACTGTTATCTCCCGTCGCAGCCTATACTCATCCACATCGCTGTCCGTCATTGCCGCAACTGACCGCGACTCGACATAGAAATTCTTCTCAAATGGGGTCAACCCCTCTAAATCCAATTTCCGTGGCGAGTCACTACCCTCATAGTCTTTCCTAGCTGTTGAAGATGCCCGATATGTTGATCCGCCGCCAAACCCAGAGTCACTGAGGAACATTCCCAAATGAAAAGGCAAATATCGTTACGATTCCTCATTATTATAAATTCTTTTTATAGCTAAAATAAACAGATAAAATTAGGGACGCCGAATGCGTGATTGACGATTTTTTTTTGCTAGGGTTTTACCTTCGACGGTCACGATACGTGTCTGGGTCGGCCGCGCGGCTATCGTATCTACTCATTGAAGAAAGTACTGACTGCGAGTTCCGTAGAAGGAAAGAAAGAGGGCGCCGGCGAGGGATATCGGTGGTTTAAGGAGAGCGTACGACGTTGAATTCGCGTGTCTGGGCGTACGGTTGAGGTTACGTTCGACGATAACCAATGCTTACAGCACGTTTGTAACTCCTGTCTAGTAGAGTTTCAGTGCGAGATTTCCCTAAAATGTTTTTCAAAACATAAATAACCAAAAATTCCGAGTGTTTTTAGAACAGATATACCGAGTTGATGAGATGGTATAAAAAAATCAATTTGATAATTCTATTATTATCACGAAATAGTCAAGTATATTGTTTTTTTTAAAGATAACTTAATTAATACGGTGAAATAAAGTTGAGAACTAGATACAAGTTATCATAACAAAGACTGCACTGGGGTGAGACTCAGAGCTGGAATCGCGCTTTCTGGTCGACCATCTCGCTAACCCTGCAATTTGGTAGATTCCATACACAACAATAATGCACCTGCTACTAAGAGGGAATTTAAAAAGAAAATTTATTGATCCAGGGCCCGAAAGATAGACGAATTATCAATCCTGGACCTGAAAGATGAAATGTATCAGTATAGGACCCGAATGACGAAAAACTATCAATTTAGGACTCGAATGATTGAAAACTATCAATTTAGGACCTAAGTTTTCATAAATTTTATTACTTTTTTTATTTTAAAAAATTAAATATTATTTAGTTGTATCAAACTAATAAACTTTTGTGAAGAAAGATTCACCAAATATTAGCAAAGGAATTAATAAAAAAATAAATAAATCAAGACCTATGAAATGTTAGATCCTAGATTGATAGTTTTTCATCATTCGGGTCCTATACCGATGCATTTCATCTTTCAGGTCCAGAAATGATAATTCATCCATCTTTCAGGTCCCGAATTGATAAAATTTCATTTAAAAAACACAACAGAGTTTTGAAATGAAAACAAATCAAAAGAGAAACATAATCCAGATTTATCAGCCACTAGCAAGGTAATAGTGGTTTGACCAGCCTCCGCTAAAGGTACTTCCTTCTTATCCTTGCAATCTCCTACTACTGGACAGCATTGCCACTTCCAAATTTTTTGGAGTTTCCTCATCCACATCCATACTAGCCTGTACCCACACCTCGTTATCCTTCTCGGTAGCCCTACGCTTCCTTGGTGCTTCTTGGGTTGTAGCAATCTTCTTCCCCTTTGACAACAGTCCTTCCACCAAATATCTTCCTGATTCCTTCGTCACTTTATCAGGCTCTGCTTTTTTCGTCCCATCTGTCTCTTGGCTTTTTGTTGCTAGGAATAAGCCACTTGTTACCCGGATGTGATCCTCCCCGCCTCGTATTCGCCTGAAGCCATGGCCCATATGGCTTCTCCCCAATCCCTATACTATGCGGATTAGATGGACAAAAATGGTCAGCATGACCAAGAATCCCGCACAGAAAGCAGAAATTTGGGAGTCTCTCATACCGGAAGTTTGCCCAGATCCATCCATCTCCCTCTTGTCTGACATGTAGGCGTCTAGTCAAAGCCATTGTAACATTTAGGGTGACTTGAATTCGCAGAACCAACTTTTGCTTTCCACCTAGAGAGCCTCCATCCACTTGCGCAAGCGATCCGATGCTATTAACAATTCCACGAGCCACCCTACCCATCATGTAGCTTAAGGGTAGGTTGTGTACCTGAACCCAAAAGTATGCATGATCCAATGAGACCTCCAAACGTTTATTAGTACGCCCCAATCTTTTAATAACCACACGATTCTGCTCAAAGGACCAATGCCCTTCATCAACAACTCTGTTCAGGTCTCCTTCATGGTAAAACTGTCAAAGGAACTTCGAATCCTCAATTTCATCTATAGAGACTCCCTTAACTGGTCTCCAAACAATAACCATTGTTTGGCAAAAGGAAACCGCACGAACAGGTTTATCGGAAACCACTCTAGCCACAGCCGCTAAATTGAAGCCCCCCTGTTATCTCGTATGCGTTCTTTTCCGGATCAGCCGCAAGCACCAACCCCATATTCTCTTCCTCAGCAATTGAAAGCATATTAACATTTTTCAAGGACATTTCCATTGTTACACAATCAATCCACAGACTCAAAGCAAAAAAGAGACCACTGAAACTAAGTAATTAAAATTCAAGCACTCACTGTAATCCACAAAATGAAGAAAAAACTCTTGCCGTTCTTTCAAAACAGAAAGCCAACGAACATCCTCAACAAATTGAGCTGGAAAAACAAATCGTGGGACGAAACTGCTCGGAAAGAAATCGAACGAACGAAAACACGAAGAAAACACGCAATCACACAACCAAACCCCACAAGAAGTTAACTGCTAAAGCTCCCTGGTGTCACCGACTCCATCATCAATTTGAGACTGTTGTGGGAAGATTCAGGTCGATCCGACATGCCGTCTGACCATCGTGCGGCTATGGTTTTTTGCTTAACAATCGCAAGAACTCCGTAATTAAGTCAATTAGATTCTTATGTTTTATAAAAACAATCAAATCTCTGTGGAACCTGGAATGAGACATGGCTACTGCAATATCTAGGGTCTTTCCTAATTCAAAACATCATCTCTGTATATGGCACATCATTGAAAACTAAAAAAAACATATACGAGAATCAAGCAATGGCAAAAGATTTTTGGACTTATTTGATCATGTTTTGAAACTGTGTCACACAGTTTATGAGTTTGAATATTATTGGAACAGGTATCTTCCATTACTGAAATTGTTTTTTTATTAATTTATGATTTACAATGTCAATTGTTTCCGAAGGAGTAACAGCTTCATTTTGATGAGTATTCTTATGTTCTTTTTTTATCTGTATTTTTGTAGGATGGCGACTACTTTCAATTGTTCTGAAAGTGTTAACATTAAAAAAACAGCTCAAGGCTCACTTTAGGCTGAGCACCTTTACGATCACAATATTTCACGTGGTATCAGAGCTTATGATTTTTAATCCCCGTTGCTATGAACCCAAGCCAATCACCGCCGCCATGCAATCGTCCTTTGTTGACGCCGTTAGTGCACCCACTTTTCTCATAGTGCAGACATCAACTCCAGTCGCGTCGAGTTCCTCCACATCACAACTAATGGTGTCCTCGTTTGCAACTGAAGCAACATACATTACTATTGTTCCTGGCCTATGACCGTTATAAGGGATGATCATTTTATATGGTACACCCAGGTGTACACGTTCACCCGGTTATTTTGTAATTCTTTTGAAGTTTGAGGTGTTTTATCATCTTTTATTAGGCTTTTTTCTCAAGTTTCGTTATAATGATCATCGTCTCCAGCTAGCTTGTTGCATCTTTCGCTGATTCCATCGTTCCCATGTGATCCTCCTCCTTCAAATTTTTCACCTGTACACTTTGAATTTGTTGTGATTGTCATCCTTTTATTTGATTCTTTTCTTTTCTCATCTAATGTTCTTCGTCTAGTCTTCGTTAGTTTTTCGCAAATTATTTTATTTTTTCTTCACTATTTAATATGATCTCTAGATTATGAACTCGTTTTTAATTTATTCCAGGTTCACGTTGAGTAGTTATGCCTACTTTTTCCGGTAATTCTCTACCACACAATTCGCTATAGTAGTATGCTTAATTGATACAACATTTTGTTGTTTTAGTTTAAGTTTAATGAGCATTAGATCTACATATTTGGTTTATCGTTTTCCAGATGAAATTCCTGGTACTGGACAGTTAATTGAAGACATTGAATCCAGGGGCGAAATATTTATACTTGATTCAAGTAATTCCTTTAGTTTTGTATTATTCTCTTTTGCTTTGTTCTGGTTGTATTTGCACTTTTTAATTTTTATTATATTTTTTCCTTCATCCAGGCCATTTGAGTTCTATTGTTGAGTTACTGAAGATGTTCATTCTAGCATAAACGTTGTTGATTTATCAAGTATTGTTTCTATATTGTGATCTTTATGTTCTTTGTTTTTATTTATATATTTTTGTTTTAGCTTCAACTTTTGATTTTACGCAGCTACCCATTCTTCTAGCAGTTTTGATCATGTAACACAATCTAAGGCTTCCCTTTCCATAGATACTATTTTAGTTAAAGAAGCTAAAGTTTTTGAGCTCCTTAGAAAAACTGTTTTGTTAGAGAAAGAAGCTTTTGATTTGTATAATGAGTATGCTTTTAAGTTTGGCTTTGGCATTCGTTATTCTACTCTACGAAAGAAAAAAGGTGGTTTTGATGTTAGAGGCAGAGATTTTCGTTGCAATAAACAAGGTTATAAGAAGAATAAAGGTGTAAATGGTAAGCTATTCACCAAAGTTGATCGCCGTACAGGTTGCAAAGGAAAAAAACTATTTTGAGATTAGAAGTAACGGTGAATGGGTTGTGGTTAGACATCTTATGGATCACAATCACTATTTCTGTCCTGATTCTTTAGTTCATCGTGTGAGGTCTCATTGTGATGTTTCTTCTTCCGAGTTGACACATTTGAATCATTTGAGAAATAGAGGAGTAAAAATTGCTGACAATTTTCATTGTTTACAAGCTGAAGCTGGCGGCTCACCTTCAATTGATTTTGTATTGCGTGATGTCTACAATGAATTGAAAAAGAATAAAAAATAAAAGTTTTGAAAGTTGTGATGCAAATACTTTGATTAACATTTTTAGGAACATGTAAATTAAACAAACGAAGAAGGCTTTTTCTTCTCTTTTGAAGCCGATGCTGATGGTTCCTTAGTTTTTTTTTTGGAGAGACAAGCAAATGAAAGAGGACTATTTAGCCTTTGGAGAGTTGGTTGTTCATGACACTACATATCGAACAAATGAGTACGATATGATTTGTGGTCCATTTGTAGGTATTAACAATCATACGCATAATTGTATGTTCGGTTGTATGTTTTTGTTAATCTTTTGAATGATTCTTTACCGCCTTTTTTACTTCAATGGATTATGTTCATCCAAAAACTGTTATGACAGATCAATCTGCATCTATGGCTACTACAATATCTAAGGTCTTTCCTAGTTCAAAACAACCTCTCTATATATGGCACATCATTGCAAACTCTAAAAAGCATATACGAGAATTGAGGAATGAAGAAGGATTTTAGACTTATTTGATCATGTTTTGAAACTGTGTAACACAGTTTCTGAGTTTGACTATTATTAGAACAAGTATCTTCCATTATTGAAATTGTTTTGTTTCTTTTTATTAATTTACTATTTACAATGTAAATTGTTTCCGAATGAGTAACGGCTTCATTTTGATGAGTATTCTTCAGTTCTTCTATATGTATTTTTGTAGCTAGGATAATGACTACTTTTAATTGTTCTGAAAGTGTTAACATTTTGTTTGAAAAAAAAACTCAAGGCTCACTTTAGGTTGAGCACCTTTACGATCATAATATTTCACGTGGTATCAGAGCCTATGATTTTTTTAATTTTTGTTGCTATGAACCCAAAGCCAATCACCGTGGCCATGCAATCGTCCTTTGCTGACGTCGTTAGTGCACCCAGTTTTCTCGCAATGAAGCCACCAACTCCAGCTGCGTCACGTTCCTCCACATCACAACTAATGGTGTCCTCATTTGCAACTGAAGCAACATACATCACTATTGTTCCTGGCCTATGACCGTTTCAAGGGGGGTGATCAGTTCATGCCTTCGCTAACATTATCATCTTCTTTCTTATTATTTCATACGCCAAAAACGTTTTTGTGGACTCCTTGATCGCCAAGGATCCCTGTGTTTTCAAAGCCAGTTGAATTCTCGTTCTCGTTTGGGGCTTCTTCTATGTCGTTTGCCGGATCCACCATGATCGGTCACCCCAGGCTACAACCTATCTCACGACTTCAAATTACATGTTACTCTCCTCTCACTGCATTACAACCCTCTTTAGCTTTCTTTATACCGGATGTCACAAATATGTGACCACAAAGTTGCTGCATTAGAGGATTATTTGTCATGGAGAACCCAATTTGAATCCTTTTTTGTGTCTTACGATTTATTGGGTGTTGTTGATGGTTCATTGCCAGGGCCTTCCTTTTACGTCATTAATGATGCTAGACATCAAGTTTTCATAATATATTACGTGGTTGAGTGGAGAATAGTAAATACTACTACCTCTATGCACTAACGTTGAAGCATAAAGATGTGTCACGCTTATTAGAAAGAGTAAGTTTATGTATTTGATATTGAACCGACAAAGTAAAAATAACTAAGAATCACACAAACTTTATCAAATTTGGTATAATACAATATTAGTGGAACAAACCAAAAAAGATAAATGAGAAATATTAGCGGGACAGAGAGAGCAAGTAATTCTATTATCAATAAAATAAGAATGAATGGTCGAATAAAAAAACATGACAATATATACTTTGTGTTAAAACCATCATTTATATACTTTATACTCCATATTTATTATTGTTTATTATTTTATAACCAATTTGTATTATCAGGAATAAATATTAATTATTGGGGAAATATTTGAAATATGAGTAAAAACATTTTGAAATTCCATAATAGGACTATGTTGTTTTTGTTCTCTAGGTAAGAGTAATTATTGTCATGTTTGGAAAATATTGTCACATTTAAAGTTCGTAATGCCATAACATGACAGTAATTACTTGTATTTATGAAACAAAAAACATGACAAACCTATTTTGCAATTCATACAACTTCTTATTTTGGGGAATTTTGTTATTAATAATTAATATATTTAAGATAAAGGAAAACCGGATCTAGTGAGGGGGAACACGTACGAATACTCTCTCTCTCTAGGGTTGCCGCAAGGTAATCGCTAGCTTGGATTCGTTCGCTATCGGCCATTGCCGAGGAGCGGGGCTGAGTTTTCCCGGCCAATTGTTGGATTTGGAGAGTCTTCTCTCTAGCGGTCATCTCCCCACGAGTTAGGGTTTTGTTTCTTCCGCTTTTGTCATCGGCGAAGAGTGGCTGTGGGTCGATTTTGATCGTGCGACCAGGCTCGAGACCAAGGATGCAGCGCTTTGGCGGCCAGGGCTCGACTTCTGTTGTTGTTTCTGGGTCGAAGGTCGAGTGTTGACAAAGAAAAGGTGGAGAAGCTGTGGCGGAATATGGTTTCGATTTAGCAGCAAGAGATGTTAAAGGAGGATATCGTCATTCAAACAAAAGCATGACTATTGAGGCGGATGAGCGGCGGTTGCGTCCCCCTTATGAGCCGCCGCCATGGAGTGCCAACAACTCAGCAAGTCTAGGGTTTGGAAGAAGATGAGTGAACTATGTTTTAAGTTCGTTTTATTATTTCAAATTGCATGTTGTTTTAGTCATGTTATTGTTTCCTAGCAGAGAGATTCTAGATTTTAAGTCAGGTGATGAGAAGTCTGGTTTGCCAGTTATTGGTTCAGTTAAGCCCATTACAGGATCATCAAATATTATTGATTCTACAGAGGTGATACATTGGTTCGAGGGCGGACGACAGACATAAGACTTTTTATCGATTTGCTTACTTTTTTTTCTTTGATTGTATTATCAGTCATTTGACGAACGTTATTTTGATTTAATATATTTGTTGGATTTGATGATATAAAAAAAGACAAAGAAAAACCGGTTCAAACCAAAGTAATCGGACCGAATTCGAATGAAAACCGAAATTGGAACATTTCAGAATTGAAAACCGGAGCGCTTATAATTCCTGTTTGATTTGTTTCAGGCCTTTTCTGTTTGGTATTCAGTATTATTGTTTGGGTAATTCTATTGACAGCCCTCTTTTTGCTAAACACAGCCACTTAATTACACAATTATCTAAAATACCCTTATACACTAGGCTATTACGATCGCACAACAGGGAGAAAACGCCGGCCAGGATGCATAACCCTGGGAACGAAGGTTTGAAGCACAGAAGGAAGAAACAGTTCCGACTTCCGAATATGGTAGCCGAATATCTCCATTCATTAATGATTGAACCAGATCCTTATAGATGCTTACTTTGGGATCGGAACTGCTGGACAAACACCCCCCTTGCAAATTTTCTGTGTCAGAACAATCTTCTTCATCAGAATGATCAGAGTAGCAAAAATTCTCTTTTTTATTTGTGAACTTTTTTAGGAGCTACGTGGTATTAGTTTTTCATTGATCTCGTGGACAAATGCAGACTGCGGATCAATTGCTGCCTAACAATGGGGCCAACAAGAAAATCAATCCCTGATTTTTGAACAAAGAGTTCAGAGAAACAACTACTCCATATTAAACACTCAAAAATGTGAACAAGGAGTACTTCATAAAACGGATACTATGACCAAAGAATCAAAACAGACTAACACTATTCCTGTTTTTTCAACTTCGTATGAAAGTAATCCATCCTTTTTTCTTAATTTCACCGTATCAACCATACCTATTTCAATTCAATTCCAAATCAATTAAATAACTACCTATTCCATTTCGAGGGGTAAAAAATATGACGCTATGCGCTGCTACCTATTCCGGGCAATTTAAGGGGAGCGAAGGATCCAACACCAAGCACCCACGTGGGAGTAACTGAAGAAGCAGGCCTTCTCGACACATGGTAGAGAGCCTTCTCGACAGACCTTTCAAGTCCAAATATCGGTCTTCTCTTTCTCGGTCGGCGACTACACCGCCGTTTCGATGTTGGCTTGTCTGAGAAATGGGAAAAGATCTGCTTGTTCGTCCCTCTTTTTGCAAAGTTCAGTCAACAGTAGCAGTATAGATTTGATTCCGACCGGCGTCAAATTAAAAGGGTATAAATGGAATTATGAAAAAAAAACGAAAATGCGGGTGTGTGTTTAGCAAAACACGGGCTGTAAATAGAATTTCCCTTATTGTTTGTGCATGCTTCCCATGAGTCATGACCCAACCAACTGTACACCCACCAGTCCATGAGTGATGAGTCCATCTATTTTAAAACCTCAGACTTGGCTTGCGAGCCCAAAACCCGAAGCCATGTCCTCTGTTTTTCCCGTTCTGTCTCTTTCACGAATGGTGAGGGGTTCTTCAGTCGACACAAAGCAGAGACTGTCTTACAATCCTCATCGCACATATCCCCGAAGCTCAGGCACACTCTCTACGGCAGCGCCACCCATCATTTCCACCGCGAACAGCCGCCCGGAGATATCAATTTCAGATATCCTCAGACGCGATGACCCCACTTCGAGTCACGGTACATGCAGTCTTTCATATATGTCGGTGATGCAATTTTCACTCAATTGAGCATTAATTCATGCCAATGATGTGGGGGAGACAGGGAAATTACCTGAAACGTATCTTGGGTTTGAGACATGGTTGCCGAATCCGCCAAAAGTGGAGAAGCCTCGGTCAGTTTTCAATGCAGCATCTCTAGCTTATATTGGAGATAGCATTTTCGAGGTGTGCATTTTAGTTAATATATATATTTTTTTAAATAAATTAATGAATCAAATGAAGGTCAGGAAATTTAGTGGGCGCAAGCCCATACAAAGAATACCGCAAACGAGTTTTGTTTCGATGTTCTTTTTGTCCAAAACATAGTATGATGAAATGAAAATAATTTTATAAGAAATTTATCAATATAGAGAGTAACAAAAGAGCTCAATATAAATGTGGGTAATCTATAATTATAGTTTCTAAAATAGAAGTATCAATTATGACTTGAAATCTGTGTACTTTGACAAAAAAAGGTTGTATCTTGGTCAAATATAACTCTGTTTATGAGACGGAGTTGAGTAATATTACGGGGTGAAGTGAAAACATGGTGAAATAAATGGTTTCCAAAAAAATACAGACTTTCTATTACTGTGTTATTTTTATATGCCAGCTTGCTTGAAATCTTTGTATTGTAGTGCACTATGTTCACTGCAATTATATTTAATGATTCTTGCATAGCTTCCACCAACGTTTTCACTTTTCACCATTGAGACACTTCTTCAAAATTAAAACATTTGTAAGAACCATGTGTGTGTGTGATATTTGGCTATTTTTTTACATTTAGGCGATGAGCTAATTCTTCAGTTAATTGGACCAAGTGACTAACCAGTTTCACATATAGCTACTCGAATTGGATGGTCTGGACTAATTTTTAAACCATGGTTTCAACAATCGGTATTCCATTCAGGGGAATCTGCATTTTGGTCCTTGACAGCTTCACTTGTTCAAAATGTAGTCATTCTATTTCATTGTTGTTAGTTTGTAAAATTATAGTCCTCAATTGTACCACAAATTCACATTTTCAGTTCTTTCACACAACACTTTCCATCTATTCAAATCAATCATTTGATAAACTAATCTGAAATGGGTGGGACTTGACACATTGACCAGAAACTTTATCAGATTATTGATTGTTTGACTTAGAAATAGCTGATGATCAACCAAAGGATCAAAGCCTCATACTCGAGGACTAAAATTGCTATAATATGACCCACCTGAGAATTCCATGTAGAAAAAATGGGCAAAAAGCTAATTACTTCATGTCAAAAGTACTAAGCAGGAACAAAGTACAACTACATGTCAAGATCTCAGAACTCAATTAAATTACACATCTAGGCAGATTTGAAAATTTTGATTTGAATGTACCTGTGTAAGCAGATATATGCCCGAAGGCACTTTTTATTCCCACCATTGAACATTGAAGAACACAATGATCGTGTGATGGCAGTAGTTCGTTGTGAGACTCAAGTATGTCTATTCTTTATTTTTTAATGACTAATTCATCCTTTTCTATATGCATATCTTTTTGAGGGAATCTATTAGATGTGACTGATGTCCAATGGACCATAGCTAACACTAATAGCATCTTGATAGTTGATATAGACATTATTTTATTATTGCTCATGCATACTTCACATTTGACAGTTTTACACTTATTCTCATCAATACTTTCTTTTTCCTAATCTTGTTTTACTTGAAGATCGTGAAAATTCATACTGCCAGCTATTTGCGAATTTTATGAAACTTGTAATTCCCCTCCCAGACATTATGCTGCATATAGGTGCCTTCAAGTTCAGATATGAGTGATACTAAATGGATGCTTGAATGTATGTTTATTTGGTGTCTAAATCTCCTCTATCGAGGAATAGTGAATTCTTTGATTGGTACATTTCAGAGTGCCATGTTGCAAAAACTTATCAATGACAATTCCTTATCAGAAGAAGAAAGGTCAGTTGTGCACTTTTACAATATCTTTCTACTTGGAACATAGACATATAATCAATGTTTTATTATCTCCTCACATGGTGGAAGTGGAACTTGCAGATCTATGATAATTAATATGTATTAAACACTCAATTTTAATAAAGATTCCCTAACAACTGTAAAATTTCTGAGTATGTTTACAAAAACCAAGTTGAAAAAGAGATCCTTATACTAAAACTCCATCAGTCTATAAAACAAAGGTTCTGTTTGAGTAATTTTTTTAAAGTCAACTTAATCAAGGTACAAGTTTTTACAGGTTATGAATGGTCACTTATACCCCTAAATACATTATAAAGGTTGTTTGGAGTAATTGACTAAAACGCTTGCCATTTGGCCAGTTGCCCTTGTTTAAAAAGTAAAGTTGACTTTAAAAGTTGGAATAAGACTTTTTGTTACAGAGGTAGTATTAGATATCATAATTATAAGTATGGGGTGGTGCTTATTTGGGATTCATGAAGCATGGCACTTACTAGGGTCTGTTTCCCTTAAAGTGCGGAAAACTAAAAAGACATCAATTTTGTACCAGAAAAGATCACGTGTGGGATAATCTTACCATTTGCCAGCTTCTTTTTTGTGATTTATTTATAGGGAAGTGCTTCGCTGGGGAAAAAATGTTGGTTCTGGGAAAACAAAGACTAAAAAACGTGCTGGCGTTGCTATTTACAACAAAGCATCATCACTTGAAACCCTTGTTAGTTCCTCTTACTTAACGTAAAGGATACAAAGTATACTATGGATATTTAATGTGCTTATAAGTTATAACTGAGTAGTTTTTTGAACATATTTGGAGTAACAAAATGATTGACAGTTTTGAAAACGCTATTCATGAAATACATGCTAGTCTTTTATGTTGTTAAGCACTAAATATGTGATTCGTACTTCGTTTCTTAATACTTACATGTAATGATGGTCGTCAGCACTCATCAGCAGAGAACCTTTGGTTTGAATATTTGGACATGCTCAATGCTCATTAGTTAGTGAATAACTCTTGTTCTTTTGCAGATTGGTTACCTATACCTGACTAATAAGATGCGGCTAGAAGAGATCATGCTTAAGTTGGGTTTCTGTACCGGAGCTTCATCTGAACTTATTGTGAAGAGCAGACACGGTAAATTCATCTAGTAACATATGAATTACTACAAAAACGAAAGTTCTAACCGCACACAAAAAAATTACGTCTGTTCTATGTAGTTGAATTCATCACGAAGTGGCCTCTACACTTGACAATCTATTCAATGCTAAATTTCTAATCGTCTCAAAAAGGAAACTTAAAGGCGTTACCAACGTGAGGAGATACCACGTCAAAAAATATTATGTTTTGCAACAGAAAATATCAACATTGTTAAATAATGGGGAAAGTTCCCGAAATAGGACTAAAACAGTTTGAAAATTCCAAAAAAGGACTGACATGTTTTTTATTCCCAAAATAGGAGTAATTACTGCCAAGTTTGGAAAATACTGCCATGTTTGAAGTCTTGTACTGTCAAAATATGACAGTAATTACTCCTATTTTGGGAATAAAAATATGACAGTCCTATTTCGGAATTTTCAAACCTTTTTAGTCCTATTTCGGGTAATATCTCTAAATAATGTGGAATATTGACGGGTACCTATGGTCAATAAATAATACTAGTACATTATTATGTTGTAAAAGTTAAGTTAATCTGATTACGAGTGAAATGTATTTTAAACTTCTCCAGTTCTCTGCAACTCGGACCTGTCATTTCTCTTTTCTTCTCTTACACATTCTTTGGGTGTTTGGGTATATTTGGATCTTGAAAAATGGCCAGGGAAAGGGGAATAGCGCTAAGGAAAGCTATTTTCATATGGTAATTTTTCTCGGCGATTACTGGAGTTTGTGGGTGATGGATCGACGCAGGTGACCTGACAACAGGCAAAATAAGTATTGAAACCAAGTCAAATACACAGTGAACTTCTAGTTTTTTCACCATTTCTCTTCAGTCTTGTTCTTGTTATTCTTCCTCTCTCTTGTCTTCTTGATTTGATTTGTTCAGTCACACCCATCTAAAAAATGAAGTGACTTTTTTTACTTCTTTAAGTTGCATTTTTTTAGATCATGTGGTTCAATGGAGCTTGTTCAACTTAGAGGATCCAATTGCTAGCTAACTTGTGAAAATTTGAAGGACTTACTTGACTCTTTTTCCATAATTGTACTCCGTATAATATTAAATTTCACATTGCATATTATTTGAAATGGAGATTTCACAGGTTTAGAGAACGATAGTCATGAAGTATCATCATGATGAATTGCGGTAAGACATACAGATTGCGGTGGTACATCATGAAGCAGGGTTAGCAGGCGTAGTATATGTAGACAACCACATTGTCTGTTGAGATTAGAAAGGTTTTTATCTTACAGCTTGATGACAATTACATTCGCGTATTTTTGTAATTTTCATGGAAGAATATTCATTTCGTAGTTATGTTTTTTGTCATTTAGATTCTATTCGGTGTTCATATAATACTCTCTCCATCTTGAAAATAAGTTTTCACTTTCCATTTATAGGTGTCCCAAAATGAAATTTCCATTTCTATAATTGGTGCTGGACTCGGGCCCGGGCCGGGCCTAGGCCCGGTCGGGCCGCCGGTTCCGAATACGTGGGCCCGAGACCGGCCCGTCCCTCAGCCGGTTCCGGTTCGGGTCGGGCCACCCGCCCGGGTCACGGGCCGGGCTACCCGCCGGGCCGGGTCAGTTTTTTTCTTCTTCTTCATATTTTGCTACTTATTCATACAAGTGATGAATATTAAAAACAAACTTCAAGTGCATTTATTTGAAATAGGAACTACATTTGAGAATTAAGAAAAAAAAACAATATGAAATGCATTTTCTAATAAATAATAATATAATTAATAATCAATTAATTAATTTGAGAAGTGCTACATATAAAAAAATGAATGTATATTTATTTGAAATATGAACTACAAGTTTACAAATTACAATTGAGAATTGAAGGATAAATTAAAAACATGAAATACATTTATAATAAATTTTAAAATACTAATCAATCGGAATCTCCGGCATAGGTAGAGCCACCCTCAGTTGATTCATCCATAAAGTTAGGGATGGACCCGGGCCGGGCCGGTTCCGGGCCGGGCCCGGGCGGGCTTTTTTTCGGGTTACATGGGCCCGGAACCGGCCCGGGTTGATACCGGGTCCGGGCCTAACCGGGCCGGGCCGGGCCCGGTTCAATGTTTTTTTTTTTTTTTTTTTTTTTTTTTTTTTGACTTTCTTGTTATCTCCCTACCCCCCCCCCTCAACCCCACGCCCCAAACCTCCCTAAAACACCCAGCCCTACCCTAGGAAAAGAAAAAAAATTGAAAAAACCAAAAAAAAAAAAAAAATGAACCGGGCCCGGCCCGAACCGAACCGCCCGGGCCGGTTCAACAAAAACAGGGCCCGGAACCGGCCCGCCCGACCCGCCAAAACGGGCTAAAAGCCCGGAACCGGCCAACCGGGCCCGCACAGTAGCGGGCCGGTCCGGTTCCGGGCCGGTTCGGCCCGGCCCAGTCCATCCCTACATAAAGTGTTGGGAGGGGGTGATTGTCATTTCTTGAGCTCTACGGGCCGCCTTCAACCAATCGTGGTAGCATATAAGCGTCTTAAGAGATTCTGCGCTCAAGGTCGTTCTAGATTGCGTAAGGACGTTGCCAGTTGAACTAAATTCTTGTTCCACGGCAACTGTTGAAACCGGCATTGATAGCACTTGCTAAACCATCTTTGCTAAAATCGGGAACATTCTTTCTTTTCCCTTCCACCAGTTTAGAACGTCAAATTCTTCATTTTCATCAAAATCAACGTCATAAGTTAAATACAAAGCAATCTCATTAATTGTGCTTTGTTGAGTACTGGGGAGTTGTTTTAGTTTTTTTCATAAGATTGACAAATGTAGATTTAAAAATTGATTTTCCTTTAGATAAAGATGTTTGTGTCTGGGGAGGGGGGCGCGTTGTCATATTCTGCATGAAACTCATTAAATAAGCCATAAAAAATTTCACTAACCTCGTTGGATTCTTTTTTCGAATCTATTGAGTCTTCGTCATACATTGGAAATGGACCAAAAAAAGCATGATAATAATACTTCAAACATTCTTCTAAAGAAGAATGTTTGAAGTAATACCATAAACATGCGGAATATGTGCATAATATTTTAAAAACTTTTCCTTCATAGATTCCACAAAATAACTCACGTAATCGGCATTCTCAAATTCCTTAAAAGCACCGACGAGATTAACAGGTTCACGAATAAAATGGTTTGAGGTAGGTTTATAAACATGACTAAAAGTTTGAGTTGCATTAAAAAAATATACCAAAGTCCAAAGCATTACAAATTTTTCGCAGGTGTCGATCTGCCCAGTTAACTTCAAGAAATTATTTGAGTGCCTTCCCGATTGAATTTTTAGCTGAAATTTGGTATGGATAAACTAGAGTTCATGAAGAACATGCTCAAAAAATTTCATCAAAAAATTCCACCGGGAAGTGCCCAAAATGCCCTCGGCCGGACGGCGGTTCCCGTCAGGCCGGCTGGACATGACAAGTCCCCCCCTCTCTCTCTATATATATATATATGTATGTATATACTTAATATATTAATTAAATGTAACTAATGTATATATAATCCCAACTATATTAGTAGATATAATGTATAAGTAATATATAATATAAAGTTTATAGTATATAATATATAAGTATACTACTATAAGATGAGTAATACACTTATATTTAATACTTTAATATATAAAGTATATATTAAGTAGATATAAATTGTAATATAGGTAATATAAGTAGATAATAAGTAGAGATCAAGTAGATAAGGAATATAAGTATATAAGTAATATAATATATGTATTTAAAAGTAGATAATTAATATATAAGACTATAAGTAGATAACAAATATAACTAATATAATATATGTGTATTTATAAGTAGATAATTAATAATTTAATATAAAGTTGATATAATATTGTATAAATGTATAAGTATTAAATAGTAAAATATATTGGAGGATAAGAGAATTTGAGAAGATGAAGATGATTAGAGAGCAGAGAGGATTTAGGAAGAGTTGGAGAAGATGTGGAAAAATGTTTAAAATTAGGAGTATTTATAGGGTTTTTTTAACCCCCACCCCCCAAAAGCCCCGAACCCCCTGTTACCCACCCAACGGCTATATAGCCGTTTGGGATGTGGGTCAAGAGCCAAACGGCTCTTTAGAGTTTAAAAGATTTTTTTTTTTAAAATTTTGACCGTTAGGCCTGGGCCCGACCCGGCCGGGCCGGGTCACCAAAACAACCACGCGAGCCCGGACCCGCCCCCACCCCCGGTTCGGGCTTCGACCCGGGCCGGTCCCGATCCTGCACAGTACCAGGCCGGGCCGGTCCACGGGCCGGGTGGCCCGAACCGAATCGAGCACTATCTATAATAGGAAATCACTTTGTTTAAAAGTGACAACTACCCTCATTTTGTGTCCATTTTTTGTTTGATTTCACATAAAGTAAGAGTACAACAATGACATCCAAGCCTTATTACCAAAAGATGACATAAAGGAAGAGTATACTATGTGTTTGAAAATCAAAACAACACATTACCGGACATAATTATGTGTAGATCAAAGCTATATCTTGGAGGGATTAATGGATCAAAGCTATATCTTGGAGGGATTAATGGGGAGAACTTGACTTTGCACCCTTTATTTGATTTTATATCACATTTTCAAAATTATTAATGTATGCATCTCGTATCACTATAAAATCATTTGACTTTGCACATCATTTTTTCACAATTTTGGACTAAAAAAGTGCAATATTAATGATTTTGAAAATGATGTTTAGAATTGTTCAAAACTAGGGGTGTAAACTCAAACTCCCCACATTAATCTTGCATTAGTTATGCATTTGAAAATGCTCATTTGGATGCACCATGGGCAATTGGGCACGGTAGATACGCAATATGCACTTTCACACATGATGCACATGTCCGCGAAAATCTTACTTAGGTCAGTAGGTATTGTTCCATTGTCCTTGATGGGTCTCGGGTTGCTTAGGCGGAGCTAGGGGGTGCTCAGGCTAGGCCCTGGCCCACTCCAAAATTGAAAAATGTCAATATTTTTAGTGTAAAAAATTTCGTGTAAATTTTTTCCCAATAATATTCTTTGTACCGGCCCAGTTTAGCCCAGTGTCCTGGCTACGCCCCTGCGGGCTCTTAGTGTGATTTTGTGTCCCTTAAGGTTTGGGCAAATATTCTCACTTAACTCTCTAGACATCCATCTAAAGATTGTCATTTCTGTTTTATGAAATTATATTAACACTTTTAAATGATAACCTAGTCATCAAATATTAAATATAATACCTCTATTTGAGAATTGAGACCATATGGAGGACTTCTTAACTAATTAAGGTAATTTGAGTATATGTTGAAAAGTAGTTTGTGTGTGTATACATAGCATAATGGAGTCATTTACAATAATTGTGAGGTTATAGGCGATGTATTATGTTTACATAATGGTTCCTTAATGCATGTGACTTCGATCGCAAACATATGAACAAGATTGAGTCAACTCATGACGATTTGGTTCAAATCGGTTCTCCGATACGGTTCTCACTCAGAATTGCATTAAAAAATGCAATTTTTTCAATAAAATTAGATACTACGTACTTGTACAATTTATTTTACACTTTGTTATGCGACCTGGGCATTCTATTTGAAATCATATTTCAAGATCCATGCAATAATATTATAAATTGAATGAACTAAAGTTCTTTGTAAAGTTACATAATTCAATTTCCACGTTTTAGTAATGCTTTATAACCTATTTTTAGTATCATACTACGTACTACGTATTCTAAAATAAATTAGCTTCTAAATATAACGTTGTTGTATATATAAACCACGAACAGCTATGTCAATTTTTTTTTTACCACAACTGAGCATCCAAACTTAAAAGGAAATATATTATTATTATTATTATTATTAAAAATAACTTTTTATTGCGGTTGTAAGGTAAAACTGCAACAAAAAGTGCATTTTTAGTAAAAATATATAAAAAATATTTCTTTTCTGCAGTTTTTAGCTACATGCAACTGCAACAAAGAAGTTTGGTGCTATATATACTTTTGTTGACATAACACGTCTCCGTTGAATCCAAGTTTTCTTGCACTCAAAAGATGCAATTCATCAATTCGTCACCATGTGGATTGACCTCAGGGCATCCACACCGATTATTTTTTGGATCATTTTGATGATGTGGTGGATTTGTAGGAGTTGAGATTATTTTATGAGATTATTTGATAAAATAATCTGGTATCAAATTCTAAAGCTGAATTATTTTGAGATTATTTCCAACTTGTAGGCATATACTCATAATTGTGGTGATGACTAGCTTTGTAGTTCGTGCATGCCCATGCTCCTATATATCCAAGGTAAATTAAGATCATGAATGAAGAAAAATTTATTGGTTTGGAGATTATTTGAGATTATCTTATGTGGGGTTGACATGTCAATAATAAGCCATGAAAAACCATAAAGTTGAAGATCATGAATGTGGATGCTCTTACAAAGTACTCCCTCCGTTCCACTAACAATGGGACAAGAACAAGAGAGAGTGACACACAGATTAATAAAAATTGGTTTATGTGATTGATATTGAATTGATAAAGTAAAAATAAAGTAACAATGATTTAGAGCCACACAAATTTTATCAAATAAAGTATGAGACAATCTTAATGAGATGAACTGAAAAGGTAAAATGAGACAATCTTAGCGGGACGAAGGGAGTAATAAATAGATAGGTAACACTGGAGGGACTAGTATTGAGTATACATTACTGTCAAATACGGAGTAAAAGTATTTAGTGTACACTACACACAACTAATCACTGTATTGAATGATGAATTTCCTATTCTGCCGCATTAGAAGTTAGAACCCAAAATTATTGCACTTAACAATATTGAATGAGATTACAATCAATCTCTCTCTCACTCACTGGAAGAGCAATATACAAAAAATAATTGCACATACTCCATATCTATAAGACTATAAGTCTATAACTAAAATAAAAGTTACGTTGTATTTATAAAAAGGAAAAATTGAAAATAATAATCCCAACTATTGCCGGTCCGCTAACAATAATCCCAACTATTGATTATTTTTGTATAATCCCAACTATATGAACCATCCGCCAATAATGGTCCATGACCAAATATTACCTTCTATAAAAGTGAATTTTAAATAGAAATTAAACGTAAAAATTAAAAGTTGAGATTATTTATAGAGATTATTTGCTATATCTCTTCTCATCCACTTCAGAAAGTACACGAATTTATTTACAGGGACTGTTATTGGCGGAAGGATCCTAAAGTTGGGATTATTCTGAAATAATCGATAGTTGGGATTATTATAAGCGGACCGCCAATAGTTGGGATTATTACAATCAATTTTTCCTTATAAAAATGTCTTTTTTTTTTAGGTATATCGACTTTAATAGTAACTTCATCCATAGTACTCCATTACTCCGTAACTTATACGCAGTACATAGTACTATTCAACTTTTAGAATTTTACGTGTATAGAACATGTATTATCGTAGAACCATAATTATTAGAGTATACGTCAATTTGTACACATCCCTATATTTTAGGAAAAATGGAAACTAATAATCTAATCTTTTAGCGGTCTTTTTATAATAGTCCCACATTTTGATTATTCATGAATAATCCTACCTTTGCACCTCATATTCATTCACTGGTCCCTGACCGGTTGATGTCATGCTATTCTAAGTTATTTTCTTATCTTTGCAAATCATTACACCATAAATCTTACCTTTCACAAAGATAATATTTTGCAAAGATAAGAAAATAACTTAGAATATCATGTTATCAATCGGTCAAGGGTCAGTGAATGAAGATGAGGTGCAAAAGTGAGATTATTCATGAATAATCAAAAGGTGGGACTATTGTAAGAAGACCGCTAAAAGGTTGGATTATTAGTTTCTGCATCACACACAATTTCTGTATGTTTTTTTTTGTTTTCACAATTTCTGTATGTTAAAGACGAATTGATTGCGATACCAATGAAAACTACGTACGGGACATGTACAAATCGTGTAAAAAAGGACATATCCAAGCATAATTTTCTATTTTGCTTCCTTCTACCAAAGCACTACTGAATTAGAACATCTTTACCTAGTTAGTAATTACCTTCATAACTTGACTAGCCACATAAGCATTTATCGCAAATTATTTAAAATACACTCTAGTGGTTAGCTATAAAATCTTCCTCTTCATTTATTAATAATAGTGTTATATTTACTAATTCAACTTGCTCAAGATAGTAGTTCAGTTTTGCTAATTAGCTTTCTCAAACAAACGGAAAATCAATGCTCTAATAATAACCTATTAACTTTAAAGTTGCAATCAAGTCCTCGAAAGAAATCATTAAAGCTGCTCTTATACATTTATATGTGATACGGAGTATGTGTTTATTAATGCATCAAATCACCTCATAATTTAGTCTATTGTGATTTAGAAAATGAACTACATTTCCATGTACTATAATTAACTATGCGCAAAATCCTCTCCAGAAATAGATTTCATTGCTGAATAAAACAAATTGATTAATGTATATTTATATAATTTAGAAAATCTTAACAAAGTTGCTAGTCCGTTTAATTACTCTCTATGTAGCATCGATACGGTACGCGAAAACGGGTACGAGGATACAACAAAACAAATATGATACGGATACGGGGTCATATTTATAAATATTAAAAGTTATAGGGATGTATTTATAAATATTAAAAGTTACAGGGGTGTATTTATAAATATTAAAAATACATTTTTTTTTAAAAAATAGACATATATTATCCTCTGACGTCTACTCATTCTACATTTTCAAAATACTTAGAAATAAGTTCATATTTTGTCTCATATACACTAGTGTATATCGAAATATAAATATAGTCAATAAGTCATTAATTTAAAATGAGAAATAAATCAAACGACGACAGTTTTTGAAATTAAAATTGCAAGTAGTCAAAGTTCTAGAATAATGAAGATAGAAAACAATATTTTAAAAATTCTAATACATATTTCCGTTTGAGCTATTAATTTTTAGGGATAATTAGAATTAGGAATAGGAAGATGGGTGAATTAGGAATAGACCCATTAGTTGTGTACCACATAAAAGCAAGGTATTTTTTTTTTTAATTTTCATTTTTAAAGATTTTGATTATGTAAATTTTGAGTGTTTTTTTTAAAAAGTTTTTTATGCATTTTTTATTTGAAAAGTTGATACGGGTATCCGTCAGAATACATGTATCCGAAATTTAAAAATAATTACCAAAAAATGGAAATTTTTAAAAATTGCAGATACAACCCAGGAACCTACGGTACGAGTATCTCAGAGTATCAGATATGAGAACGTTTCCAATACGTAAATATGGCACCCTAGTAAAGTATCCGTGCTTGATAGATTACTTAGAGGTCGTTTGGCAACCCTATGTTTCGGCTTATCAGGCTTATCGGTCAACTTTTTCACCAAACACATAACTTTTACTTTTGGGCGCTGGATTGTGTAATAAGCAGAAAAAGTAAGATTAGAGTTACTTTTCTGGCTGTATCGGCTGAAGTTACTGTAGATGACCATTTTAGCTATTTTTACATATAATTTTTTCTTTATTTTATTAATAAAATATATTTTAAAATATTTTTTCTTAAATAAACAGAATCAGCCAATGCAGCCACTTCAGTCAGAACATCATAAATTTCAGCAGAATCCGCCAAAACAGCCGATTTTTGTGCTACCAAACAGGCTCTTAGTAGTACGGAGTATAATATTAAGATAAATAAATGATTTCTTGGAGAAAATTATGGATAAAAGTGGAAGTATGAGCACTAAAACGACAAACAGAAAAGGAAAAGAAGCTTTGGTCATTGAAACACTCAAAGGACGGCGGGCAAGCAAGCCCAATTTACTATTCTGAGTTGGTCCGGTAGGGTCCACTCTCTCTGCGCGTTCTTCAGCTTTAAGAAAGTGGCCCAACAATTTCTTGCCAGCCAACCATTAATCTTCCCAAAATACTCTCACTCACTATCATGCAATCATGCGCACTTCTTTTCCCGAGAGCTAAGACAATTTAGGCGTTGAAAAAAATTCGCAAATCATTAATAAGAACAGCTGTTTCTGCGACTAGCAGAAAAGCCAAGAAAGAAAACAGGATTGATAGAATAAAGCGCAAAAAAGGAATAAGGCCCATTAATTAGTTTGCAGCCTTGAGCAAATCCCACAAAATCTTGAGTAGGTGGTGGGCATTTGATGTGTGGAAAATGGGTCTGAATCTTTTGGTGGTGGTTTCACTGGTTCTTTTCATTTCTTCTGGAAATGCTTCATCAGTTTCATATGACAAGAATTCTTTTATTGTCAATGGCCAAAGAAAGATCCTTATTTCTGGATCCATTCACTACCCAAGGAGCACTCCTGAGGTATATATGCTTCTTTAGTGTAAACTTATCCTTCCTGCAATCTCTGCTTTCTGGGTTTTTTCTTAGCTTCTTTCTTAAAGATCTTGGGCAAATGGGTATTCTTCAGCTCTTTGTTTTGGTTACTTGTACAATGGAGTGAGACTGACCAAACTAAACTATAACAATAAAACCCACTCTATTATTTTTGATGTGCAGATGTGGCCAGATCTTATTCAGAAAGCAAAGGAAGGTGGTTTGGATGTTATCCAAACTTATGTTTTCTGGAATGGACATGAACCTCAACCTGGCAAAGTAAGGATTTTTTTTTTTCCTTTTTCAAATGAATAAAGTTTGTAATTTTTTTCAATTACTGATATCTTGTGGGGAATTTTCAGTATTACTTCGAGGACAGGTACGATATTGTGAAATTTATCAAGGTGGTGCAGCAAGCTGGACTTTATGTTCATCTTCGGATTGGGCCTTATGCATGTGGTGAATGGAATTTTGGGTAGTAATAATAATAGTAATTACAAATTTCAGATTCTAATTTCTAATAGATATATTTTTTGAGTGATTTCAGATTCATGGTTTTAATTATACGTAGTACTATTTTAGGGGATTTCCAGTCTGGTTGAAGTTTGTACCAGGCATTAGTTTCAGAACAAATAATGAACCTTTCAAGGTTAGCAGCTTTGTCAAAACATCCTTTTAATTAGTAGTTCTGCCAGACATTCTTTAATTTGGAAATGTTTCTAATTATGGGGTTATAATTAATTCTTTTCTTTTTTCTCAATTTAAACACTCAAAAGGCTGCAATGCAAAATTTCACCACCATGATTGTCAATATGATGAAATCAGAAAGTTTGTACGCATCTCAAGGTGGTCCAATTATCTTCTCCCAGGTAAATTTCATTTATCACTTGTAAATTAATATAGTTTCTTTCCTGGTTTCCTCAGTAAATTTGTTTGACTTTGTTCAGAGGTAAAGTTTGACTTTGTTTACTTGTTTAGGCTATCCCATCTAATCTAACCCAAAACTCTATACATATTTCTTTTTTAATAATTCAAAATGGTACTCTTAAGAGTTCCCTATTGTACTAATTTAAGTTAATGTATTTATGGTGTCAAATTTAATGACAGATTGAAAATGAGTATGGACCGGTAGAGTATGAACTGGGTGAACCGGGTAAGCTTTATGCCCAATGGGCAGCCCAAATGGCTGTGAGTCTCGACACAGGAGTGCCGTGGGTGATGTGCAAGCAAGATGATGCCCCTGATCCAGTTGTAAGTTGCCATTACTGGTGATTTGTCTTAACTAATATTGTTTTGACTTCTTATGTAGTTATATGTAGCATTCATGATGGAATAGTGTGACCATATGCTTGTATGTTATCTAGTTTTTGGCCCCTCGTGGATGACCATGTGTATAATTTAGTATTCTTTCACCCTTTCACATGGCACATCTTTATCTTTTTTTTTTGCCTTTTTTGTTTTTTATTGATTATTCCTATTGCTGAATATTCATTCTGAATATCTGAAAATCAAAGTCTATCAGAAGCCTGGTCGAAAAATTATCAAAGTGTTGTTTTAAGCTCTTTGTTACTGCTAAGGGTCTGTTTGGATGGAGGGTTTGTTGGGTAGACTTCCCCTATATTTTACTCCATAGTAAATAGAATGTCTCTAAAAACGAATAAAAGGTGATTGGTAAGTTGTAAGATCACATTTCATGTCAAATTTTTTATTTTCATAAAAGCTCACATTTATCGACATATAAAATGAGCTCCCCATCCAAATAGACCCTAAGGGATTAACAGATATATATAATACTTATTTTGTCTGTTTATTACAGTCATTTTGTTGAATTAATCTCACCCTTAGTTGTGATTGAAGCTGCAATATTTATTGTTACCATCTTCTATAATTCTTCTATTCACGTGTACTCGCTCCAGCAGATTTGTAATTAAAATTAAGAGTAAAGTCATGGGTACTTGATCGTTATGAAAAAAAAATGAAAATTATGAGTAAAAACAATGAGTTGGTAAAAGATGAAAAAGTAATTGTTTATATGTTTTAAAGATAAAGAGAGTGTAAGAAAAGTTGCCAAAAATGGTAAGTGGAACAAGTAATAAGCTTCAATAGAAGGAAAGTGAAATAAGTAAAATTCAATAGGCAGAGTACATAATCAATTCCTGCATTATACGTAGTAATTGATAATTTTGTCCTCTTTTCCAGATTAATGCGTGCAACGGTTTTTATTGTGACTACTTCTCCCCAAATAATGCTAGTAAGCCCAAGATGTGGACTGAAGCCTGGACTGCCTGGTAGATTTAATGCTTAATTTATATAGTTTGATTTCTGTACAAATTATGTTTCTGCTAAGCTTGTTTAATTGGACTATTTATGTGACTTATTATGAATCATTTACTATCCATAATCAATAATCTTTACAAAACAGGCAGAGTTTAATCCAAATATTGGGACTATAAACTAAATGATCAATTTTTAATTTTTTATTGTGCATGACTTTTAGCTTATTTAGCTGAAGTAGCCACAAATCCACAATTATTTTGGATTTCATCATACGAGTAACAACCGTACACTGTACTCTTAAGTTGTAGCAAGTGACACTAATGGTGCTTTAAAATGTGATTCTTTAAAAAAGTGATATTGAAGTTCCAACTGGAGCAGTACAAAAAAGTTCCAAGTTTTAACTAGAGCTAATTATATTTTTGCAGGTTCACTGAATTTGGAGCTCCAGTACCTTACCGCCCTGCGGAGGATTTGTCTTATGCAGTTGCAAAGTTCATTATGAACGGGGGCGCTTTTGTCAACTATTACATGGTACTAGTTATGTTTGTTTTTTGTACTTGCTATAATATTTTGACTTATTTTCCTTGGTGAAACTGCATATGCTTCCAATACATTTTTGCATAAATTTCATCAATGTTCCATCATTTGGATAGTATCACGGGGGCACCAACTTTGGAAGGACATCTGGAGGTCCTTTTATTTCCACCAGCTATGATTATGATGCCCCTATAGACGAATTTGGTAAGAACATACCATAATCCGGGATTAAGCAGGGCTAATATGGATTTGTACAACACCTATGTAAAACTAAATGACATGTTTCCTTCAATGACAAAAGGGTTATTGCGTCAACCTAAATGGGGTCATCTGAAAGATCTACATAGAGCAATAAAGCTATGCGAGCCAGCATTGGTATATGGAGATCCAGCTATAACTTCACTTGGACCATATCAAGAGGTTTGGTTTACTTGATCATATCTTGCTTTAAATATATAAACTGCATCATTTACCTGAAAAGCTGTGTCCCACCTTGCATGCAATAGGTACAAAGAAATAGTGACCCTGCAGTAGAACTATCCATGCTTCGAAACCTAACCACTGGTTCCCAATATAGAAAAACAGAGAACCATAAGATCTTTAGGGTTCGTTTGGAGCTCAAAAAATTATTAGGAAAGAAAGTAGGAAGAAAGTTGTGGGCAAAATTTTAATAGAAAGAAAATGCAGGATATGAAACATTGAATCTATTCCACTTTATATATATATATATATATATTTGCTTAAACTAAATACCTATATATGACTAAAATGTATACTGGTCCCTGAATATGACTCATCATAGTGTTTCTTTTGTTATGACCTTTTATATATAATGATCTTATTTAATACTCCCTCCGTCCCAATATAAAAGGCACATTTTCCTTTTTGGGCAGTCCCAATATAAAAGGCACATTTCCCTTTTTGGCAAACAAAACAGTGCAAAACAGTGTCAAACAGTGTCCAAACAGTGTTCACCCTAAAAATGTGTGGAAAAACAAATGTGCCTTTTATATTGGGACGGAGGGAGTAAGTAATATTCCCTCCGTTCCGCAAAGATTATCCCATCTTTCCTTTTTGGTCTGTCCCATTAAGATTGCCCCGTACCAAATTTGGTAAAGTGTGTGGGGTTCTAAATCGTTTGTTCTTTATTTTTATTTTTATTTTATAAATCCAATATCAACCACATAAACACTCTTTTCTTAATAACCGCACCACCTCCTCATGTCCCAATGTTAGTGGGACGAAGGTAGTGTTATTTATCTATCAGAGCATGATACTATGACTAAAAATATATTATCATGGGAATAAAAACATGATAGAGTTATAGTCATTTTTGAAAAAATTGTTTATAATTAAGTCTTATTTTGGGCAATTATTTCTGTCATGTAGCAATTCAAAAAAACATTCCCCAGCAATTCATTGCCTTAGCCTAGCATTTTATGTGATCCAACCGTACCTTTAGGGTTTGTTTAGTTGTGGGATACTAGAGGGAAAGAGAGGAGAAGTCTAATATTTATTGTATTAATTTATTTGTATTTATTGGTTTTTTTTTATTAGAAGTGACTATTTGTAAGGGTTGGAAAAGTAACTTGTTAGGAATAGAGTGGGACAAATACTATGGAATAGTCAATAGAGTGAGCATATGATTAATTAGATCATGTATTTTTATATACGGAGTACCTTTTATTATCACCTTATTTTTAACCTTCTAAATGTAAAAATATTTAGAAAAATGTCAACAGTAGACAGGTCTATCAAGTAGTGGTCATTGACAGTGACCTATTTAAACAGATCTATCGCATAGGTGTAGTTACATCTTTAAATAGGTCAGTGATATAGATCATTTGACTTTTTTTTTAAATTGACTCGGCACACAGAGTTTTGAATATCGGATCGTTTTTCCGAACATGTAGGCATGCAAGCATGATTGTTTGCGTTATTGGCATATTGTTATTGTTGTTGTTGTTATTTCATCAGGCTCGTGTCTTCAACAAGTCGAACTCTGGAACTTGTGCCGCATTCCTTGCAAACCATGATCAACATTCGTTTGCTAAAGTGGCATTTGGAGAAATGCATTATCACTTACCGCCTTGGTCTATCAGCATCCTTCCTGACTGCAAGAACACTGTGTATAATACTGCAAGGGTGAGTGAAACACCACCCCTTCTTAGACCATTTGCTATGTACTATAAGGGTGTTGATTCCAAACTAGGTTTTAACGTGAAGGTTGGTGCCCAAACTGCACAAATGACGATGACTCCTGTTGGTGAAGCGTTCTCTTGGCAGTCATATAATGAAGAAACACCATCTTATGATGACAAGACATTCACAGCCGTTGGGTTGTTGGAGCAAATTAACACCACAAGAGATACTTCTGATTATTTGTGGTACATGACAGAGTAAGTTATCTTATAAACCTAAAATGTTTTACTCCAATTTAATTTTTAAATTCCTTATCAAATATTGGCATTCATTTCAATACCAGGATCAACATTAGTCAAAGCGAAGGATTCTTGGAACATGGATATTTGCCTTGGCTTACTATCTTCTCTGCTGGGCATGCTTTACATGTTTTCGTAAATGGTCAATTAATAGGTGCATATTATGCTCATAACTTTTTTTTAAATAGCGTGTACTTAGAGCATCTTTATTGCAATTAATGAAATTTCTTTCTCTTTCATTCCACGGTCTTCTATATTTTTAGTAATTTTTTTAACAATGTCAACCACAATGTCTACATCTAGACGTTGCTTTTGACATTGTGGAGAAAAAACTACCAAAATAGACAAGACCATTTAAATAAGAAGAAATATGTTCTATACTTCTATTTATTATTCCCTAAAAAAATGTTCTATTTATTAATATTTATGTGTCTATCTTTCTCATGTCACATGTGCATCATTCACATTGTTGCATTGGAGATGATCTTAGTAGATGATATGTTAGAGTCCCACATCAGATAATTAAAGAGAGAATGATAGGTTATTAAAAACCGCATTGAATAATTGAATTGATGGATACATTAAATTCAAACTTTTAGTGTGGTTGGACCCAGAAATCTTATGGCCTAGTTATGCGACCCCAATGTAATCATGAATGGCCTAGTATGTCTCTTTACTATTTCTAGGCACAATTCTTAACCTTCAGGAAGGTGACAGCAAGCTATGTGTACTGTTGTTTTTGGTGTTCATCTTTTAACGATAAGGAATTGGCAGGAACTGCTTATGGAAGTTTAGAGAATCCAAAAATAACTTTCGGCCAAGCAGTAAAACTGGTGGCAGGTGTCAACAAAATTTCACTATTAAGCATCTCCGTTGGCCTTCCGGTTCGTTCTATTATATATGTAGTATGTTGTAAACTAAATATGACTTCTGCATCTTCATAAAGAATGAATAATTGGAACTCCATCATTCTCACAGAACGTGGGCCCTCATTTTGAGACATGGAATGCTGGTGTTCTTGGCCCAGTTTCACTTGGTGGTCTTAATGAAGGAACTAGAGATTTAACATGGCAGAAATGGTCTTACAAGGTTTGTTTTCTACTTCAAATTGTTGATGTCAATTTTTATAAAATACAAACTCAAAAATGAGTTCTGCTACTCCTTTTTATATGTAATTCAACTCTCACCGGGAAATAGGGAATCCATGAACTTTGGTTGGTTTGCCTACAAATCATCTTGTATGAGCAGCATAAGCAATGCCAGATTTATAAAATATAATAAAAACACAAATCAACATATACAATCTTGTACTACTCTACCTATTAAGTTGACCTTTTTAAGTGGCCAAAGTCACCAAGCTCAGACGAGTAGTTCGATAATCATAAGTTAAAATAGTCAATTCATGGGCTTCAAAATTGATTTTTTCCATTTGGTTATATTAAGTAATTAAACCCAAGAATGGGAACCTTGGTGCGCTGTTGTTGTGTGATCAAGAGATCATGAGTTTTGGGAGCAGTCTCTTGTTTAAACTAACAAGGGAATACTTGGCCATATAAACGGATAAACCTTTTTGGTGGGACCCTTCCCCAGCTTCTCACCTTGCAGAGATGCCAGTATGCACCCGTCTGCCCTTTTACCTTTTGGTGATATTAAAACCAACTTAAGCAATCTCAGCTTGATCAAATCATCAAATGCAAAGATACAAACCTATATTTAAGTGTTTTCCCTCATTTTAGATTAATCTTTTAGAATCAAGTACAAGTCTTCTCACAGACCTTAAATGTGTATTTCCTTTCTTAAAAAACTGACTGGAGATAAGATCTTCTTTCAGATTGGTCTTGAAGGTGAAGCTCTGAATCTTCATTCAGTTAGTGGGAGCTCTTTGGTGGATTGGGTTGAAGGTTCTTTCGTTGCTCAAAGACAACCTTTGACGTGGTACAAGGTATGCGCTATCTCCCGCTTGTGAAATCACAAATAATCATGCTCATTTATCTCAGAACAACATTTTTTTTGCAGACTGTATTCGATGCTCCTGATGGATATGAACCATTAGCATTGGACATGAGTACAATGAGTAAAGGACAGATATGGATAAATGGTAGAAGTATTGGACGCCATTGGCCAGGGTACAAAGCATCTTCCAATGGTTGTAGCTTCTGCAACTATGCTGGTTGGTTTGACGAAAATAAGTGTCTTGGCAGCTGTGGGGAAGCTTCACAAAGATGGTTAGATCTTTTTAAATAAATCCATTAAGTTGTACATATCGGTCCTTAAATAACAGGTATAGTTCAGGTACCATGTTCCTCGGTCTTGGCTACGTCCGTCGGACAACCTGTTGGTAATTTCCGAGGAATGGAGCGGCAGTCCCTTCGGCATCTCTTTGGTGAAACGAGAGGTAGGAAGCGTCTGTGCGCAGATGTACGAGTGGCAACCTCAGCTGATGAACTGGCGGCTCCAATCCTCGGGAAAAGTTAACAGGCGGCTCAGGCCTAAGCTTCACCTCTCGTGCGGTTCTGGAGGAAAGAACATTACCTCCATCAAATTTGCCAGCTTTGGAACGCCAGAGGGAAAATGCGGGGAGTTCCGACAAGGAGCCTGTCACGCCATCCATTCTTATGATGTTTTCCAGGTACTAAGATAATTGCATAATGCTGGTCCAATATTAGAGTATATTGCTATACACTCTAATACTCTCTTTTGCCCAAGCTCTCATAGAATCAATACTCCTACTTATCTGTGGATGTGGATTGTGGGTTATCATAAGTGCCATTATTTCATTTTGATGTTGTTATTGCAGTCATGCATAGGGTGGAGTTCATGCACAATACTTGTAGCCCCCGAGGCATTTGGAGGTGATCCATGTCCTGATATCATGAAGAAAGTTGCCGTTGAGGTTGTTTGTAGTGACATCCGTTCGGAGGGACGATGAACCTAAACAGTTTTTCGAATGAGCTTGAGAACCTGTCATTCCTAACCTAGGCTAGCACAAGAACAATTTTTAACACAAAAAGGCTCCATTCTTTTTAAATTTTAAGCCAATGCTTAATTATTCCATTGTTAATTAACCAGCCTACTAGTGCAGCTTAAAGTCACATGTTTGGTTCTGGACTTCTGGTGACCCAATCCATGTAATACGTACATAATGCTCTGTATACATTATTTCTCATTCAGGCACTAGTGAAGCCACATTTGCATATATGGCTTATGTTTCAATAATATGCAGCTTGCTTCAAACTTACATGACATTACAAAAACGCATACTAGTTTTAGCACCTTACTTGAATTTATACTTTTACTCAATTTTAACTTGATCTAGCCATTTATTTACTAGATCTTAAATATAAAGCTATTGTTCTATATGGTAAAATTGAATTGTATAACATTAATATATCACTCTCTTATTGGTTAACACTTGACACAAATAATTATCTACATTTTAAAATATTTAAATAATTTACTAAAATGCTGTTTAATTTATACCGGATTAATATTATTTATTTCACAAATGAAATTTTAGAATGTTAATGTATCCGAATAAACCTTAGAGTGTTCTAAATTATATATGTACTTATTGTTCTAAATTTATATTTCTATAAAACATATAATTATGGTGTGAAAATAACTTTTTATATAAAGTTCATAGTACGTATGTATTACATACTCCGTATAACTAATATGTTCTATGTATGTAATACCCGAATAAAAAGTATTTATAAATATAACTAAAAAAGTATTAGTTAAGAGGTTTTTCTTTAAATATTATCAAAACATAACCAATAGACAAAAATATACTATAGTTACTATGCATAGTAGTTGGGCACAATCATAATCACTAAAGTTATTATGGTGATCACTAAGTCATATATTTGTCCACTATCTTTATTTCGATCATATATTTATCATTATTTCTTCCGGAAATTGCAGTACTAGAATAAAAAAACATTCAGTTAGTTCTGTTATCCAAATTTGAAAGTGTTTCATGTTTATTTATACTCCTAATATAATTAAGTAGTGTAGTTATAAATTAAAAATTACACTACCATTATGGAGTAATTAAGTATAGTTATTTCATGATTTCTTTCTTAATTACTCCGTATATGCTTATTTGCTAATTATAAATTACACTACCATTTTGGACTAATTCATGACTACACGTCTACTTCTAGTATATTATACGGAGTATAATGTTCAATTAATCACGGTCCTTCGTCAGGGACGGATCCAGGATTTTGAGTCAAGGGGGCGAATTTTTTTCATTGGTGTAGGGATTGACAATTTTTTCCCTAATAGCAGGATGAAAATTTTTCGCTAGTGTAGCAGGACAAATTTTTTTCCACTAGTGTAGCGGGGCGAAATGTTTTTCACTAGTGTAGCGGTGCAAATTTTTTCGCTACTGTAGGGTTCAGGGGATAATTTTTATTCAAAAAACCCATTAGTACATACACGATAACATTAAAATCTATTACATTCTAATTTTGGACAATGAAAAAATAACTTTGATTTAATAAATGTAAGTGCTCTAAGAAAAAGTATTGATACATGAGTTTTTTACAAGAATATTACTAAAATAAAACTTATTTACATAAATATGACTATTCATTACTACAACGTAATATTGTAGTAACTTAAGTTCAAAACTTGAACATGAATTACTATGATTTCATTACTACTCTAGTAATGAATCATATTTTTGTAAACCATCTTTATTTTGATCATATTTATGTAATTATTTCTTGATACATTACAATGTAAGAAATGACAAATCAAAAGAAAATTATTTGAAAATAAGTAATGATATATAACATTTTATCAAATTATTTGAAGACAAGAGTTTAAAAGGTACACCATCAACTAATGTTTTACAAATAACGTATGTCTTGTTTAATTATATGAATCGTATCAGAATAAAGAATTAATTTTTGAATTGCAATTTTTGTCTATCAAGGAGACTATTTATGAGCCACGAGAAGTTTTGATAATGTTACAATAATATGTATGCCCTTTATTATATTTAGAGTAATATGATACGTAGTATTGTTAGTTCATATATATGGTGCATATTATATTTGTATTAATGCTAAAATAGTTGAAATTTGCTAAAATAGTTGAAATTTATTATCTATGCAACAAATTATTTTTAGAAAGTAAGAAGTAAATGAATTGTGTAAATTCATGATGTGTACAAATTGTTATATTTTGTTTCAATTTAATTGATATAAAACATGTTCAACTATTGCGTATGATATTTAATATCATTTGATATCTTACAAAACCGAGTACTAATTATCTAATAAAGATAATTAAACAGAGTATATTACAAAGAAATAATTACGTAAATAAGACCAAAATAAAGATAGATTACAAAAATATGATTACTTACTAGAGTAGTAATGAAATCATAGTAATTCATATTCAAGTTTTGAACTTACGTTACCACAACACTAGATTGTAGTAATGAATAGTTATATTTATGTAAATAAATTATATTTTAGTAATATTCTTGTAAAAAAACCTATTACAAAATTAATAATTTTTATATAATAAGTATCCTAATTCTTAAACAATGAGTTGTTCTATTGTTTATTTGTTTATGCTATGTAAATTATTTTAAATTTTTCTTCTTTTAAATCTCTAATTAAGTATTACATTATGTGAGCCTACATATTAATTTCGATAACTAAAAGTTAAGGGAGGCGAAAAATATATATATGTGAAACTTTTATGAAAATCTCTATAAGTGTGCGTCCATTCCGAGATGTCAATAACATTCGGTAATTAATTTATATAGGTCATAGGTGGACCATTTTTTTATGTAATAAGTATCCTAATTCTTAAACAATGAGTTGTTCTATTGTTTATTTGTTTATGCTATGTAAATTATTTTAAATTTTTCTTCTTTTAAATCTCTAATTAATATTACATTATGTGAGCCTACATATTAATTCCGATAACTAAAAGTTAAGGGAGGCGAAAAACATATATATATATGAAACTTTTATGAAAATCTCAATAAGTGTGCGTCCATTCCGAGATGTCAATAACATTCGGTAATTAATTTATATAGGTCATAGGTGGACCATTTTAAACTGATGAAACATTTTTAACTTAATCAAGTCAAAGTAAACTTATGATCACTATATAACTTAATTGGGAAAATTTTACAAATAAGACTTAATCCTACTAAATTTCCAAAACTAAGATTGAGAATTAGCGTAAGACTGAAACATGCCTACTTTGACCATAATACCCCTAATTTTAAATTAGATAGCAAATACCTACTGAAACATGTCGCTGCAAAACTCATCGCATATCCCAGCGATGTCCGTTTCGGAGTATACCTGTGAAATTCAATCGATCTACCATCAAACTGACTGAAATCAAATTGTCGAGCGGATATAAATCTACTGATGGATGGTGGTTGTCGCGGTCTGGTGCGAACTGCCCTCGATCGAAGAGGGGAACATCCTACCCTGAGGCGTCCTTACTTGCCGGCGTCAATGCCTGTTGGCGCTGCCCTGCTCAGGCTGGAGGATGAAGCATTCAAAAACCGCCCCAAAGAGCACACTTCAATATGAGAGTAGAAGTGGTTTTGGAAGGTACACATGCCAGTAGGGCTGATGCAGATGTTGAGGGTTAACTTTCCTGGGAATTGATATTGGATTATGAAGATGTTTGAGATTTTTGGCCAAAGTTTAGCTTCAAAATTGGGGCTGCAAATTTTCTTTCAAAATTTTATATTTCTGAGCTCTAATTACATTCTTGTTGATCAATTTTTTTTCTTTTTAATAAAAAGTAGTTGTAGAGGAAGGCTGATCTAGAAGATGAACTTTATATGAAGGCACCATGACTTCACAAGTGGAATATTAAAATCAAATTGATAAAGAAGATGGAAGCATGAAGAAAAATGGTGACAGTGAAACCCTAAATGGACCATTGACATTAAACAGTTTTCTTAAGAGATGAAAAAGTAAATTTGTGGTGGTTAATATGTAATTTAGAGCATCTGAGTCATGTATGGATGTATTTAAAATGTTAAACTACACTGATGCAATCAAAATCATATTAATGTCTATTTTATGTCATCAAGCAGACATTAAATTACATTTAATGTCATGTATTTTGTTGTTTTACAAGTCAAAATCCAAATAAGTTGATTTAGAAATTCATAATATGTCTTTTATAATCAAATTATTAAAGAGGAAGTCTTAAAAGTAGGTAATTAACAAATAAAGATTTTAGTTATATCATGTAATAGTAAGTTAAATATTTGAAATATATTCAATGAATTTAATAATAATAGTTTATGAATTTTACTACTAACATACACATTACGATGGTGTTATTTAATGAAAATGATATACTAACTAAAATTGAATGGTGAACTAGTACTCAAAAGGGTACAAGTAAACATAACATAATCGGAGTAGACAGTAAATGTAAACATAAACAAATAACACTGTCAATAAATAGACAGTAATTGTCAACATAATCAGCATTTAATACCAGGATCTTGGGTATGAAAAGAAATATTACATCAACTTAATGGTCAAAAACAATAACAAAAGCACCATGTTGAATGACAACATAAAGTCTTACAACAATGATTGAAGGAGAAATTAAACACAATTGCTAGTTTAATAAGAAACTAAAAACTATGGACTGAGATGAGATTCTTGCATGACTTCTTATTGGGTCCACCTTTTCTACACCGTGAACACCGTTGGCGGGAAGAAAATCTCCAGTTGAAGATGTACGTTTCTTAGGTCTACCATGTTGGCATGTGAGACATGTGGATGGCTTCCATATTTTAGATGTGGATTGTTGATTATGACATTGTCTAAAATCAATGAAACGTGAATGGTCAAAATCAACCCTGAAAAGAAGAACATAAAATATCGGATAAGTATAGACACTAAATAGTCCGTAAATAGTCCCTAAACAAGTAAAGAAAGACATTAAAATAAAATTAAAGGGAGTATATAAAATTCAGAATGATCACAACACGTCACTTGTAAAATCACTAATGTGTAACTTATGACTTCCAGAAAGTATCACTCCACAAACAGCCTAAATGCATGCATCATCAACACAAACAACATGCAACTACATGTGTTGTGGAACAACACACAAAAAATTCAAAAAAATTCAAACAAGAGTCTAAATCAAAACTGAGAGCTTGACTTGAAGAAGACAAAGTTAAAAAGTGTTGAAATGAATCATTAAGTTGTCTTCTTATTTAATCTTCACTGGAAGAGGAACGTATGTGTTCTGAGTTGTGCACAAATTTAAGTTGTGCACACCGATGTATGTAAGCAGAACTTGATTCCATATTGTTTAGCTAAATTTCAAATTGCAGGATAAATCAATCCACATTATTAGTTTGATCTGCCTAACCAGAATTCATGCAAAACCGACAAAAGTATCGATTTCCATACCATTGGTCACAAATTCACACGAAACTAGTTTTTTCAAAGGTATTTTCTCTGGTACCTTCGAACGTTTCTCGGGTACCGTGCCTAGCTGATGTGTCCTAATTAATAGATGACATATGGATAGCTTAAATTAATGCTATTATATGACATGGCATTCAAATACGGCGCATAAGTAAATCAATTTTGCTCTTTAGGCTCTGTTTGCAACCACTTGTGCTTAAATAAAAGCACTTTTGGGGAAAAAGTGATTAGTAGTAAAAGTTGGTAGTGTTTGGTAAAATAAGTGCTTTTTGTGTAATAGAAAAAGTAAAAAGTAGATTCTACACGAAAATCGAGGAAGTAAAAGTTGGTAGTGTTTGGAAAAATAAGTGCTTTTTTCTTTAAAAAAAGCCAAAATCACTTTTTTTAATTGGTTGCAAACAAGCCCTTAGTCCTCCTTGGAATAAAGGAGAAGGAGCTTTCAAACGTCGTTTCTTCTCTTCCCGTCAATTGGATAGAAGCTCTGGTTTCCCGTCAATTGGATATACTGCGCTGGTTTTCTTCAGCACGTCACCCAAGGCCCGAGCATCACCGTCGCAAGAAGTTTTTGACGGCCATCGCTTTGGATCGAGCGCAGCCCAATCACTTCGGAATTTTGACGCCCGTAAAGGTTTGCTTGAACATATTCTGCCAAACTTGGTATGTACCATTCATTCACCATATCCAATTTGGGATTTTAAAATTTATGCCCTTTCTTCGGATTGCCGAAAATTGATTTTACCAGATATTGGTGTGAGATTGACCTTGTTGGTTCTAGTTTTCAGAACTTATATTACATTTTCTCTTCTTCTTGGTAAAAGAGCTCATTAGTCTTGGTAATCAGGAGGGTTATTGAATTAAATCTCTCATGTCTGATTTTTAGAGAGAGAGAGGGAGATTGAGGGGTAAAGGACGAATTTCAGAAACTTTACCCTACCAACATGATTCAAAAACTTAGATGCAAAAGCCCTCAAGCTTATTTTATCCAAAATTGACACCATATAGCACATACCCTAGGAAATGGTAAAACTGCTTGCTAATATCTCTCAAAACTAATCTTTAAAAAAATGATAGCAGATAGGAACTTGGAAGAACAGTATCTCTCTGTATGTTACAAGTATAATGATGTACGATAAAAATTCTAAAAACCTGCATTTCTGAATTTGGCACGTTTAGTCTTTCTTTATGGAGGAGTGTCCATCTGACTTGACTGGGAGCAACCTCTGAAAAGCATTTGAGAATGATTTAGTATGTACAAAAGATCTTAGTGTACTCACCAAGATTGGCAGGGATATTGTGTTTGGCTTGACATTGCTAATGGTGGCATCCAACAAATCTCTACACATCATTATATATACCTGTATACTCCGTAATATGCAAATAGTTGATCTTAGTTAATGGTAGCATGTAACTTGATCTCTACACTTAGAAGAACTGACTTTACATCCTATAAGGACCCCTTGATATCTGTAAAAGGGTAAGCTGAATTTAAGTATCAAGAGAGCATACAACCATTAGAAAGTCCAAACAGAATAGTCACCTGGGCCAACAAACTTGTGTAAAACACCAGTAAGTTTAATGGTCGCATTCCAAGTCACAGCAACACTGGATTATAAGCCAATATCCTTGCAAATTCAATTAAATCATGTAGAAAAAATCACATAACATTAATTCCTCTTCTTCTTTGAGATAAAAACTTGAGCAGAATACTCTCCCTTATAAAAAGAAAAGGAAAACATTACCTTGAATTTTAAATGTAAAATGCCAAAATCCTCAATTGATGTAACCATCCACAGCAAGCCTTGAGTAAAAACTTTAGGATTCTTATGATTTTCATGCAGTATATTAAATGAAGTATCAGGAACACCGAAGATAAATCCTGTTGTTTTCATGTATAATTCAAACTGTGGGAGCTGAGGATGTTAAATTTCTATGACACATTTTCATTATGTCACTAACACACACAAACAAATAGGTATGCATACGTACTTGATTTTTATTTGAACAATATATTTGTCATTATTGCATATACACACAAGTATGTGTGTATGTAATAGTCATTTTCTCATAGGTCAACCCATTTGTATTTGGTTTTGCCCAGGCTACCCCAAATGTGTGGATCCTAAGCTAAACAATGAATATCCACCAAAGGCCATTGTCGAGGTAAACCTTTTTCGTCTTACTGATTATGAACCAAACATGGATATGTGTCTGGTCTGCCTCAATTGTTTACATTTCTGGAAACTCTTAGATGGCAGCTGTTGCTGCACTCTGTGTTCAATATGAGACTGATTTTAGTCCGAATATGAAAATCGTAGTCAAAGCCTTGCTACCACTTCTCAACTCAAAGCCTGCCGCTGGCTCAGAATCCCACGCATTGAGGACTAATCAAGCTCAGAAACTTCAAAATCTTAACATCACAAATCTGTTCATTCTAACTTTAAACTCTTGATCAAGGATTATTTAGAGTCTGAGAGGTTCAAGATTTGATTCCATCTGCAAGGAAGTTGATTTACATGTGAATGCCCAAATTGTATTTCATTTCTCAGAGATTTTGATTATTGTTATCATTTATGTTGACAATTGACATTACGTCTCCTCAAATGAGCAGTTAGGGAGGAGGCTGCATTATTAAATGTCAACTAACCGGTATCTTCTATTCTTGGTAATTTGAACATACTCTGTATCATTCATTTTTTAATCTACATGTATAGTTGGATATTCAACGATATCAAAAGAACAACCAAATGAGCTCAACCATTCGCCATTGTAATCCATAATTCTATACAATGCCAGTTTTTAATTGCATGTATGGGCATGTAGCCAAAGATACTTTTTTTTTATTCTTGACAGTATCGCATACTCTGTATTATTTATTTATTTTTGCTTTTCAAACCGTAAATGTATAACTTATACAACCATATGTAGTTGTGTACAATAGAATATTAAAATTTCAAGAGTAATCAAAACTAGGGGTGGACCGGGCCCGGTTCAGGCCTGGACCCGTCCGGGCTTGGATTTCTTTGGGTAAGTGATAAGTCCATTTTTGAACTTATTTTTCTTATCAAATTTAAGCGATTTTTGAATGAAAATAGAAAGAAAAGACACATTTTATATATTTTGGTTCAAGTTTCATGAAATCAGGTAAAAATCACATCCATAATATGTTTAGCGGGATTTCGGGTCAATTGAGCACAAAATGAGTCAATTTGAGTGACAAATGCATTTATACCGGAAGAAGCAAGCATTTTATCAAGGTGATTCAGAAGACAAAAATGAAGAGCAGGAAAAGCCGCATCTGCCAGACAAAAATAGCAGAAGGCGCCCAAATAGGCGCCCAAAATGGAGGCCTTCGCGGCCGCCTACGGGAAAAATCAGAAGTCAACCTCGCTTTGACTCGGGACCAGGAAAAGACCGAAGGCTACCGACACTGGACAGAAGGCGGCCGCCTACGGTGGCCGCCTGCGGCACAAGGGGACGAAACCAACCACCGGTCGGCCAGACAGGACGGCAGGCGGCCAGACAGGACGGCAGGCGGCCGCCTGCTGGACCGCCTGCGGCGGCCGGGATCCGCCGGGATCCGCCGCGATCCGATTTGACCATGAAAAGACGGCAGGCGGCCGACGTGTGGCGGAAGGCGGCCGCCCTCTGTGGCCGCCTACGGCTGACGGGGACCGGCCACCGACCGCTGTCGGCGACGAGGACGGCAGGCGGCCGGAGAGAGGCGGAAGGCGGCCGCCTGGTTGGCCGCCTTCGGGGAAATTTCTGCTATAAATTGCCCGATTTTTCCTCAACTCAAACACACCAATTTCAAGCCCAAATCAGATCAAAAAGGGCGTCTTCTTCCTCCTCAAAGCTCGGATTTCCACCATTGTTGCACCTTCAACTTCAATCTTTCATATCTTTCTCATTTTAGCTCCAAATTGTGAGTTCTTTATATGTATTTTCATCCTTTCAATGAGTAGAATCTGAATCTGTACTTAGTTTTTTCTATCTGTGCTTCTAAAATTTCCAGAAAATTATTCAACTATTTCGCATTTTCGTCTTAAATTTGAATAAAATAGTTGTTGACATTAAATCCATTCCAATTAATTATATAGTTGTTTACTAGCCTCAAGGTAGTTATTTATCAAAACAAAGTTAATTTTTACGAAGTAGAAGTAAATTTTAATTAATTCCGGCATTTAGTTGTTATTATTGCATAAATTAAATTAAATACTCAAAAAAGGAAAAAAATTAGTTTCTGTCCTAATTCCAGTTAAATTAACAGTAATATCACTCCTAGTATTCAATATAAAATTTAGAACGAATTTAAAATAATTTTAGTTGCTTTTTGTATTTTCTAGTTAATATTGGGAAAATTATCAATTAGTTGTTAAAATTGGATTTTAGGTTATAAAATTCGGGAAAAATTCCAGAAGGTGATATTTTAGTTCTACAAGTTTATTTTGGAAGAATATTATTTTTGTTTAATTTTTGCTATTATACATGCTTAATTCCTTGTTAATGTTGAATTTATTCATTGTATTGTTAAATGAAAAAATGATGTTTATTAGCTAAATTTGTTTTGGGCATGAATTGACTAAAGGAATATGGATTGACTTGTTGACCGAAAATTAGGGATTAAAATTAATAATTTGGACTAGTTGTTTGAAATGATGAAATAGTAATTAATAATTGTTAGCCATATTCATTAATTAAATTCTTGGAAAATTATTTCTAACTTGTCTATGAGATTAGAAAATAATTTAAGCCAACCATATTCAAGCAAATTAATAAGGCCTAGAAATAGGATAATTTAATGAAAGGGATTTACATCTTGTCTATGAGAGATAAATTCAATTGCTTAAATAATGAGTTTAACTAGTTAATGAATTCGGCTATTTTTATTAATTAAAATATTGGAGAATTATTTCTACCTTGTCTATGAGGTTAGAATTTAATTCAAGCCAACCATTTTTGAACACATTAATGACACCTAGAAATAGGATAAATTAATGAAAATAGTTTCTATTCTTGTCTATGAGGAAAGAAATTATTAGTCCAATTTTAGTTTTAATTTCCCTAATTACTAGGTCCAAGAATATATCCATTTCTAATTACTCAATTCATTGCCCTTATTTGCACCAATCCATTTAATTTTAATATTATATTTTTTTCCTTTAGTCTATTTTTGAGCCATCATTAGTATTTGCACAATTTAATTTACTTTCTTTTCCAAAAAGTATTTTAGAAAATCAATCAAAAGTTTTAATTTGGAAAGCTTCCAATAATTTGCGATAACCTGTGACTGGACTTGAAATCAAGAAGCTCCTCCGCCATTCCTCGAGAGACACGATACTCGGGGAAAAACCGAAAGGTTAGACTCCGTTTTACTACAACGCCGCAAAAGCGGGTTATCAAATGGCGCCGTTGCCGGGGAATGGCACGGTGATTTCTTGATTTTGATTTTAGCATGGGCGAATTCAAGTTAGGGAGACTTTCTTTTTCTTTTTTGTTTTGTTCTCACGTGTTTGCTTGAGATTTCCTCATGGATTACTCAAGTGAACACTTTAATTCTCAACCACCATATCACTATCCATACTATGAACAACAATCTTTTCAAAATAATCAAAATGAAGGATACTATGGACAAGGTTATGAGGATAACAATCAATGGTGCGAAAATCCACCTTTGGGGTATGGAGATTACCAATTTCAAGATAATTATTTCCACCAAGGGCAAGACTTTGAAGGCTGTGATGATTTCTCCTATCAAGGTAATTATCATGATGATTTTAATTATCATGAAAATTACCAAGAAAGGCTAGAAAATCATTACACCAGCACAAACGAGTACTCCTACGAGGGTGACTCTGGAATTTCACCTTATCCTCAACACGAGCTCGAAAAGTTAAAATCGTCCTTACTCGATTTTGTGGAAGACTTAAGAAAGACAAGAATTGAACTAGCATCTCATGATGAGAGTATCAAGGAATTGTTTAAAAAAATCATTTATGACAATGACCACAAAGTTCAACAGGAGACATACGAGGAGGGTGCTAAATCTGAGGAGAAGGTTGCGGTAACCATGGGCGAGATGGTTGAAACTCTTCTCACCCCTATTTCTTTTGAGCCTCTCATTGCTACTGAGAGAGAGCCTATCCTCGTAGAACATAATTCTCAAGAGCCCCATATGAAAGTGCCCAATGAGGTTGATGAAGAAACCATAGATGATGAGATACTTTGTGACAAGGAACCTACCCTACCATCTATGGTTGACCTCTCATTTAAGGAGTGCCACAAAGATAGCCTTGGTGAAGATTTTGATCCTACACAAGCCCAAGCACCTGTTGAAATAGTTAATGACACTTGTGATGTGAAGGAAACAATGTCCGATGATGCCTTTTTTGATTCTCTACTTGAGCATGATGAGCATAGTTGTGCTAGGCAAAGATCTGTTTGCCTAGATGATATTTGTGGGGGTAGTGAGTTAGGAAGTTGGGATGCATTCTTAGAAAGTGACACAGAGTCTAAACTTTGTGATTTTCATGTTGAGGGCATAGACGAAGAAGAGAAAATCCATCAAGAGGAGTATGCAATCTCTATTCAAGCTGCTTCTACCTTGAAGGCTCATTATGAGCGGTTAAAGACATCAGAGGCACCTGATCCTGAAATACTTGTTGATTATACTAATGAGAGTGATGCAGGATATGTGCTAATTTCTTGTTCGAACGATGTGTTCTTTGAAGATTATATCACATTTTGGTGGTCACGAGAGTTCGAGGGTCTACGCCATCTAACGGCATACCTGGAGGATAAGGTGGAGGCACTAATGATGAGTGCTCCACAACTGACATGCATAGCTGAGATTTCTCTCTCGAACGTCAAGCTAGTGACGTTAAAGAAGCGCTTCTTGGGAGGCAACCCATGTTTTTCATAACATTGTTTGTTTGTTTTGTGTGTTTGCAGGGTGTGCTTCAATGTGATGAAATAAGAGTTTGGCTTAGGCCTTACGGGAGGACACGGTTGATGCTTAGTTTTCTTCCTTAACATTTTATTGTGTTTATTTGTTTATTTAGGTTGGACATTGTGCTGCTCTTTTGACTTAAATGGGGTCTTACAAACTGACTATGAATGATGTAATGATTTTTATTCCTGTTTCATTATTCCTCTTCACAAAATCTTTTCAAAACTCAAGTGTGAGGAAAGAACCAAAAAAAATGTGTGTCTTTATTTCAAGGTTTTGTGCCTTAAAAGAAGACCTCGAGGGCGAGGTCTAGCTCAAGTGTGAGGAGGTTGCGTTTTACACTCAAAAGTTAAAACTTTGTTTTAGAACAATCTTTTTACTATTTTTTTGATATGAAACATTAACTTTTCAATTTTTTATCAAATCACAAAATACTTTAGATAATCACCCTTATTATAAGAATTTACTATTATTATTATTTTTGAAAACTTAAAATTGTTATGGGTTTTTGGTTGCGAATGTAAAGGTCTGAATTTGTTTTAATTGGACATTCATTTTATTCATTAAACAAAAATGTTACCATTAATAAACCTCTTCAAAACTCATTGTTATAGGACAATTCCATCTCCGAAAAGGGGCTCTGTTTCATTCGTTAATCACAGTCTGTGAGAATGAAATATGCATTTACCATGGGATAACACCGCCAACAAGAGTGAAAAAGAGCAAAAAAAAAAAAATGGTGAACAAGATGAATGTCCAAATTAGAATAATGAAAATCTTGGGATAAGGAATTGATTGGTGGTTTAACATAACAAATAGTTTTTCTTAAGTAATACTAATTTTAAATTCTTGTATTTTGGGTGATTTTTCTAAAATGTTTA